GACACTAGAAAAGAACAGAGGGGAATGTCTTAATGATTTTGGAGTCAGGAAAGCTTTTTTAAGGCTAACACAAACTCAGAAGGCATATAAAGAAGATTGAAATTTGACTGTGTATTTTAAAAAATCTGTGTGGCAAAAATACCATAATCAAAAATATAACACCTGGTAAAAATGTATTTGTAATACATCCTAAGAACTAAATTCTGTAATACATAAAGAGCTTTTGTGTATCAATAAACTCAAGCCCCAGTGAAAAATGACCAAAGCATACAAACAAAACTTGGAAGTACCAATGGCCTTAAACACATGAAACAATATTCATAAATAGAGAAATTGCAAATTACACTTTTTTGGGTCTTTTTTTTTTTTTCCTTTTTGTGGAGAATGGCGGGGAGGCGGGGGGGTCTCACTACATTGCCGAGGCAGGTCTCAAATTCCTGGGCTCAAGCTATCCTCTGCCTCTGCCACCCTAAGTGCTGGGATTACAGGCATGAGTCACCACGCCCCTCGAGAAAAGCATATTAAAATAATGAGATGCTGTATTTTACCTATCAGATTGGCAAAGACCAACATATTGTGTTTGTGAGGGTGTGGGGAAACAAGCAGGATCACAGATTGTTGGTGAGACTATAAATTGGTACAACCTCTATAGAAACCAATTTGGCATCAGCTAACAAACTTTAAAAACTAGCCAGGCTTGGTGGCTCACGTCTGTAATCCCAACACTTTGGGAGGTCGTGGGAGGCAGACTGCTTGAGCTCAGGAGTTTGAGATCAGCCTCGACAACATGGTGAAACCCCGTCTCTACTGAAAATACAAAATTAGCTAGCTACAGCACGGCTGTAGTCTCCGCTACTCGGGAGGCTGAGCTGGGAGGATTGGGGTTGAGCCCAGGAGGTCGAGGCTGCAGTGAGCCGTGATTGCACCACTGCTCTCTAGCCTGGGTGACAGAGTGAGACCCCCCCTCAAAAAAAATTATATGAAAGTTTGTAGAGTTTTTTTCTTTTAGTCAAATCTCTTTATTTGAATTATCTGCGTGTCCTTAACCAGAAGGAAATGCTACACATAGTTGAAGAATAAAGACAAAATATTAAAATTTAAGGTAGGTATTATGTTCTTTGTATAACGTGGATAACAAGCATATTGAGCTGTGGAAAGTAACACGACAATTAAAAGAATCTCTGAGCATATATCACTCATGGTCCTTTAGGAAATCGATAGTACCTTTTTTAAAAAAGGGAGGCTGCAAAGAGTTTCAATTACTGATGGTGTGGGCAGGGTTCAGGGAAATAGCATGGGATGGTGGGCACCCTCAGGTGCTGGCATCTGGCTTTAGGAAGCCATTACCCTCCCTGGCAGGAGGCAATGGAGGAAACACAGAACCAAGTGAGCACCATCATTTTGGGAGAGGCCACCTGACAGGAGCTGAGGAAAAGCGTGAGCCACTGTCAGACAGAGGCCTGGCAGGGTGGGAACCAGGAGAACAGATGCTGCAGGCCCTTCCTGCTCTTGGCCTTCCATCTGCTGGGGCCTCCCACTGGCCACATTCACTGGAAATCAGAGGGCAAAGGAGCCAGATTGACGCTGTCAGTAGAGGCTGGTCACCTGGGACGCTGAACAAAGATGGGTCGCTCTTGCTCTGTATCCATGGGGTAGATCTGGAAGGGCAACGGATGATTTCTTTCAGCGTAATATGTATCCTGGTAATATATTCAGGACCTTGCTTCATTTCCACCTTTCTCCAAAAAATTATTACCAATTTTTCTTTCAAAGTAATTACTTCTGTGTTACTCCTTTTTGGAATGGAATCTATAGATCACTGAAATTCCCAATCCCTTTCTTTCTGAGACAGCAACTGTATAAAAATTGTCAAAGCATGATGTAGGCTGATAAAAAAAAGAAGAAAAAACAGGCTTTCTGAAGACACTGCATTTACTCATTAAAGTCCAATTAAAAGGCCAGGTATGAGCACTTTGGGAGGCCAAGGTGGGCAGATCACTTGAGGCCAGGAGTTCAAGAACAGCCTGGGCAACATAGTAAAACCCCATCTCTACTAAAAATACAAAAATTAGCTGGGCATGGTGGCACATGCCTGTAGTCTCAGCTACTTGGGAAGCTGAGCCACAAGAATTGCCTGAACCAGGGAGGCAGAGGTTACAGTGAGCCAAGTTCACACCACTGCACTCCAGTCTGGGCAACAGAGCCAGAATCTGTCTCAAAAAAATAATAATTATGATTGAAAATCCATTAAAAAAGCAATTAAAAAAAGACACCTAGAATATTAGCACATGAAAGAGTATATTATGAGAAATAAACAGTGCATTTTACATAGAATGGGTTTTGAAAAATAAAAGTTATGTTTGGCCATTCATTTTCTGGAGAAGGATTCTATTATCGTTTTCTTCTTTTCTTCCCTTTTTTTTTTTTTTTTTTTGTTTGTTTGTTTGTTGAGTTGTTTTTGAGACAGGGTCTTGCTCTGTCACCCAGGCTGGAGTGTAGTGGTGCAATCTTGCTTCACTGCAGTCTGGACGTCTCAGGCTCAAGCCTGATCCTCCCACCTTAGCCTCCTGAGCTGCTGGGACTACAGGCACACACCACCATGCCTGACTAATTTATTTTTTACCATTGCATTGCATTGTATTCGAGGGGAGTTTCGCTCTTGTTGCCCTGGCTGGAGTGCAATGGCTCAGCTCACCGCAACCTCCGCCTCCCAGGTTCAAGCAATTCTGCTGCCTTAGCCTCCTGAGTAGCTGGGATTACAGGTGCGCGCACTACCACGCCTGGTTTATTTTGTATTTTTGGTAGAGATGGGGTTTCACTATGTTGCCCAGATTGGTCTCAAACTCATGGACTCAAGCGATCTGCCTGCCTGGACCTCTCAAAGTGCTGGAATTACAGGCATGAACCACTGCACCTGGCCCCTTTCTTCTAACAGTGCCTCTCAACCATACTTCTAATCATGCCTCCTACCACATTTATATTTGTTGACTCCCTCGGAGCAACCAGAGATTAATCCTGGAATTCCAACACATATTTAAACCTCTGGCTTGATAGTTTAACAACATTGTAGATTACCTAGAGAGAAGAGGATATGTTGTTTAAATGGCTTTCTTGACCTATTTACAAGATAAGATTTACTTTCCTTGAAACGCCATTTTGAACACTGGGATTGGCATCCCTTACAGGTTCTCTAATTAGTTGCTTTCCAATTATTTGGCAAGTAAACAACTATGTTGTTATGAACCCTACCTAGAGTGTATCCCGAACATGAATCTCCATCTTGGGTTTTTTTTGTAAACTCTGCATTTGACCCCTTTGCACTCTTTTCCATGTTCACTAAACATGCTCAGGGTTGGAAAAGCTGGTTTAGTAGAGACGGCATATTTCCGGCAGCCTTCAGGGGCAGATACAAAAGTTGCAGGCATCTGATGTATGCTGCCCAGTGTCTGCACGTTCCCTTGTTCACTCTCAGTGGGCAGAAAACCCGGCATTGTGGGTACCTTATGAGAACCGCCAGAGGTAATATGACATAAATAATGAAATAACATGTTAATGCCATTCATTACAGATCCATTGGAAATTATTGTTCAGGTTATTCCTCTCACTGCTCTGAGAAACGTCTTGTATAATAGACTCATATGAAGCAGGAAGTTAGAGTACAATTTGTCAGACAGGCGATATAGTCTAGTGGATTCAGAATTTGAATATTATTTCTTGCTCTGCTACTGGATTCCTTTATGACTAGGAGGGAAATATCTCTGGGTGTTGCTAGTTTCGGTATCTGTGGATTGATAAGGACATCACGAGCATGAATGTTATAGTAGGTTATTTCATGGGAAATTAAACACAGCAAGTCTAATGAGAGGAGCGGGTTACTTGGTCATTTCTTTCTATGTGCTATTTGATGCTTTAAGAGGACATCTGGAATTGGAATAAGTTAGAGGAATTTCAGAAAGTGCATCATAACACCTAACACTACGGAGAGCTCAGAACGTGCTACACGGTTCTGAAGGCCGTTCTTGTATTACCTCATTTAATCCCTGCAGCATGCCCAGGAGGTCATTGCATGATATTGATGCAATTTTAGAGATGAAGAAACTGAGGCACATATAGTTAAATAATTTGTTCAAGGTCACAAAGCTAGTAAGCAGTAGAACTGGGATTTGAACTCAGGTTATTTAAATTCAGAGCCCCAGTTCTTATTCTCAGTATTTGACTCCTCTTCCCTCTCACCTGGTGATAGAAATGCTGATGACCAGACTGGGCGCAGTGGCTCACACCTGTAATCCCATCACCTTGGGAGACTGAGGCAGGTAGATCACTTGAGCTCAGGAGTTTGAGACCAGTCTGGGCAAGATGGTAAAACCCCATCTCTAAAAAATGCAAGAATTAGCCTGCTGTGGTGGTGTGCCCCTGTCATCCCAGTTACTTGGGAGGCTGAGATGGGGGAGTGGCTTGAGCCCAGTAGGCAGAGGTTGCAGTGAGCTGAGATTGTGCCACTGCACTCCAGCCTGGGCAACAAAGCAAGACTCCATTTCTAAAAAAAAAAAACCTTATGAGATTTAACTTAAAAATAACTTTTCCTTCGTCTGATTCGAGAGAGTTTACTCAGAGTAAGCTTTAATGTGTTGTTTTTTTGTAAGATGGAGGTCTTACTATGTTGCCCAGGCTGGTCTTGAACTCCTGGGCTCAAGTGATCCTTCCACCTCAGCCTCCCAAAGAGCTGGGATTACAGGTCAGAGACACTGCGCCCATACTATATTTCTGTTATTGCTATGGTGGGACGCACACCAAAATGGTGCCTGTCAGCCTCATCCTTCATATGCATCTCTCCCAGCACTGCTGCTGTGATTAGTATCTTAATTCCAACCTAGGCAGGTGCAGCGCATCAGTGGCTCCCTGCTCCAGCTTTTTTTTTACCTCAGCCCAAGCCACTTATAAAGATGGGCTCCACCCACATCATCTGACCCGCGGATCTCCACACTCTCTTCCCGGAGCTCAGACGGTTCTTGGAGTGCTGGTAAAGTCAAGCAAAAATAAGGCGGTGAGTTTTTCCCCAACTAAGTAATTAAACTTTGTCTGGCCTTTAGTCATCTAAGGCCGAGAAAGGACTGCCCTAACCAGGGAAAAGCAGTATCGGATGTGAGCTGGTCTGTTGTCCCTCCACCTCAGAATGCTTGTAGGGATAAACCTCCAGTCGGTCAGTATTAGAGGTTCAACAGAGTTGGTTGAAAACTTGAAACAAACCTAGAAAAGAAAAACACGAAAGATGGGTGGGTGAGAGTGATACAATGAGATTCCCCAGATATGTTGCTGTCACCCCAGGCAAATCTCAAATGGTTTTAAATGGAGCTTTTGGAAAGTTAACCCTAACCGTCATTTGCAGGCTTGGTCGTTTGGAATGTGTGTTAGTGAAAAGCGGTAAGGGAGTTTTGTAGACCTTAAGAACTTGAAGGCGGCAGCTGAATTCTTGAAGTTAGAGATTTATTGTAGGTCTTCTCCTGTTCTCTGAGAAGAAAACCAGATTTCATGTAATAGAAGTGAGATAAAAGAACACGGTTTTCAGAAGCATGTATCACTCTGCTATTTTAGGAATTGTTCCAATAAGAGATGTTTATAACAAGTGTGGTGTGACCCAGCCAAGAAGCTTAATATAACAAGGTTAACTGGTGGGAGGAAAGGCTCTAGTCTACACCAGCTTGCATTTATTAATAATCAGAAAGGTTCCACATGACAGACTTGCTGAGCATTTACTAAATCTGGTACTTGTGGTTTGCAAATGATTTTGATTAACAGCTGCTATCATCTATCCTAGAAGGGGCAGGAAGAAGTGTTATTATTTTATCACATAAAATAGTAGTCACAAAGAGTGAAAACAGTTTAATCTGGCAGATAGGAAATTCACTGGTTAAGCAGAAAACCATGCTCTGCCTTCCTACTGAGCTTGCTAAAGATAGGTTTGGGAAATGTCTCATTGAACAGATGTTTCTTCTTAGATTTTGATGAAGAGTTTAGTGGCATCTAATCATTAGTGAAGGGTTGTTTTGGCAAAAGGAATCTCTTGTCTATCTACACACATACTTAATTTTTTTTTTACATATGTTAAGGGTTTTGCATTAATTGACTACCAAGAGGATCTCACGTAGATGAGTCATGAACTCTTGACTGGCTTTCATAATCAAGCTTTGAATGATTTTAAAAATCAGCCTGCCTCATCTAAGGTTTGAAAGTTCAATGTTAATGAAATAACTTTAGTAAAGGGAGGAAAAAAATTTTAAGAAAAAAATTGTAAGGAAAGATGATTACATTGTTAACGTAATCTGTTTGGAGTTAGAAGTTGACTTACAAAGCTCTCTAGAGAACCTTTTGAATCACCCTGAAATCTGCCAGCTTTTTCAAGGATGCTACTTTTGTAACTCTGTATACATCATATGCCTTTCTTCACAATAAAATGCAACTTTCTTAGTGATTGAAGAATATGGATATTGATAAACACAAATTATGTCCTTATGTTTACATATAAATTCCTAAATAAAAAATATTATTGGCCGGGCGCGGTGGCTCAAGCTTGTAATCCCAGCACTTTGGGAGGCCGAGGCGGGTGGATCACGAGGTCAAAAGATCGAGACCATCCTGGTCAACATGGTGAAACCCCGTCTCTACTAAAAATACAAAAAAAAAATTAGCTGGGCATGGTGGCACGTGCCTGTAATCCCAGCTACTCAGGAGGCTGAGGCAGGAGAATTGCCTGAACCCAGGAGGCAGAGGTTGCGGTGAGCCGAGATCGCGCCATTGCACTCCAGCCTGGGTAACAAGAGCGAAACTCCATCTCAAGAAAAAAAAAAAAAAAATTATCTACATTGTACATACACGATAGATGTACTCTAACTCATTGAAGTCAGAACAAACGTAGATTTTCTTAAGTCCCAAAGAGTATGATGTCTTACAGGGTTATGTTGAAGTCTGCAGTTATACCAGTGGTGAAAGTCAAATATATAACGAATAACTTTAGGTAAGAACCAAATCAGACTTCTTTTACAGGTGTTGCCATGTGTTAGAGGATTTTACTTGTTGCTTTCTAGTTTTAGATCAGGCAGATGGTTGAAAAGTGTTGATTCAAGAGCTTTGACTGTATAGAACAAGAAAATTGAGACAATCATAGTAATGGGACTCAATCTATAAGCCAGAGTAATGAAGCATAGTTCAATCAACAGGAGGAATAAAAAAGATTAGCCACATAAGTGGTATGGACAATCTCTAACATGATTTTACGTTACCTTTAGCTCACATGAATCCAAGTGGAAATTCCTAGAACAGATTTATAGTCCCACTTCTTAATTTTCTGTTTGTAACCCTAGAAATAGCAAACAAGGCCGGGCGCAGTGGCTCACGCCTGTAATCCCAACACTTTGGGAGGCCGAGGAGGGTGGATTACGAGGTCAAGAGATCAAGACCATCCTGGCCAACATGGTAAAACCCCGTCTCTACTAAAAATACAAAAAATCAGCTGGGCATGGTGGCACGTGCCTGTAATCCCAGCTACTCAGGAGACTGAGGCGGGAGAATTGCCTGAACCCAGGAGGCGGAGGTTGTGGTGAGCCGAGATCGCGCCATTGCACTCCAGCCTGGGTAACAAGAGCGAAACTCCGTCTCAAAAAAAAAAAAAAAAAAAAAAAAAAGCAAACAGTATGTATAACATTCTCTGCAGTGTATAAAATAGCCGCATAATAGATGTCCCTAAATTTTTTTCTAGCCCTACTCCCAAACTTGGATAACCTATTGTAGGTTCTCCTGGCTCCTGACTATGTAATTATTTATTTGACATTGTTCAAAAAAAACTACAAGAGACCCAGTGAAATTCGAATTTCAAATAAACAACAAATAATTTTCCCGTATACTATGTATTGTGCAACAGTTTGGGTCCTACACTAAAAAATTAGTCATTATTTATCTGAGATTAAAATTTCATTGGGCTTCCTGGATTTCACCTGGCAGCTCTAGTGGCTTACTTGTTCATAGCTGTATCTTCCACAGACTACTGGTTTTAGGAGACCGGATACTGTTTTCCCACTGCATTCCAACCTGGGTGACAGGGAGACACCATCTAAAAAAAAATGTATTTTAATTAAAACTCTACAAAGTCAGGTGTGGTAATCCCAGCTACTTCAGAGGCTGAGGCAGGAGGATCACTTGAACCTAGTTTGAGGCTGTGCTGTGCTGTGATCACACCTGTGAATAGCCATGGCACTGCAGCCTGGGCAACAGAGACTCAGTGTCTAAAACATTAAAAAGAATAATAATAAAAAAAAAAGCAAGCATGGAAAATGCAACTGAGGTCCGTAGAACTTGAAAGCAGAAGAAGCAGTTCTTGCCACTGGAATTTCTCCAGGTATACCATCTTTATGTAGTGGGTGATCAGTAAGGAATAAATTCCTTTTAAAAGATAGACTCCAAGCAACTGACTCTCCTAATAACAATTCACTTTCAGTTCCTAATTTTCACTTAATGCCTTTTCAAAGGCGGTTACTTTACAAAGCAAGTTAGGCTTGTATTTTTAAGTTTTCTGGCAGATTGCAGCTAATCCTTTCTACCAGGATCTAAAGTTTAATAAGAGGTTTAGACAGAAGAGATAGGAGATATTTCCAAGCTGCATATGGAGAAGATGACCCAAATTTTGAAATCTTTATCATCCCATCTTATTTATTAAACTCCCACCCGTGTTCTGCTCTATATTAGAAAAAGTAAGACAAGTTAATCTTGTGAAGCTTTGGCAGCTCATGAAGAGCCACTGTTTTAAGTGCACACTTCATAAGGTTTAGCTTATCAACACACCAAGCAGGGCTCACTTAGGCAAGTCTGGAGAGTTGAGAAAACAGACAGTAAAAGAAAGCCTGGGCAATATGGTGAAAGCCTGTCTCCACTAAAAGTACAAAAAAAAAAAAAAAAAAGCTGGGTGTGATGGTGCATGCCTGTGGTCCCAGCTACTCCAGAGGCTTAGGCAGGAGGACTGCTTGAGCCTGGGGAGTCAGAGGTTGCAGTGAGGCATGATTGTGCCACTGCACTCCAACCTGGGTGACAGACCAAGAACCCCCCTCCAAAAAAATGAAAACAGTTGGTAAAAGTAGAAAAACTGTCTTGTAAATGCAAGTAGAAACATGTGTCTTATATGCTAGGAACATTAATCTAGGTCGGTTACAAATGCCTACAAAGCGAGACTGTTTGTTGCGGCTTGAACAGCATACCACATCACTGTTCAGAGACATGAGTAGACAGGATTTGGGAGCCTGAGGTTCCAGTTCTGGGGCTTCTTTTAGCCTTATGCCCAGACTGTGCCTCAATTATCTGGCTCTAGAATGAAGAAACAGCCGACTCACACTGAGAACACTGACAGATACTTAGCTACTGTTTTGTTTTGTTTTGAAACAGAGTCTCACTCTGTCACCCAGGCTGGAGTGCAGTAGTCTAATCTTGGCTCACTGCAACCTCCGCCTCCCAGGTTCAAGCTATTCTCCTGCCTCAGCCTCCTGAGTAGCTGGGATCACAGGCACGTGCCACCACGCCTGCCTAATTTTTTATTTTTAGTAGAGGCAGGGTTTCACCATGTTGGTAAGGCTGGTCTTGAACTCCTGACCTCATGACCCACCTGTCTCGGCCTCCCAAAGTGCTAGGATTACAGATGTGAGCCACCAAGCCCTGCCTTAACTACTGTTTAATAAGGCTCTTTGCTTGACAAAGGGAAGTGAGATGTGTTCCTGCTAAGTCAGTCAACTGTAGATTTGGAATGCTTTGTATTCAAGGGTGAAGTCTCTTCTGTCATTACGGCTGCTGCACTTCTACCTTTCCCTGGAGCAGTTGAGCAGCTCTTATGTATTCAAGGCAGGAAGCTCTCCAGAAAAGCTAGTCCTGAAAGTAGTTGGAAGGCAATATTCACAGCAGCTGGGGGATAAGTCCATAAGCCTGGTAATTATATAAGTTATATGTAATTGTAGATTATCAGTTATGCCAACAATACTGTATTAAGTATCTAGAAGAGAATTATATAATGGTTTTGAGTACAATACTTAAAAAGTATTTTTGAGCAGACAGCATGCACACACATTGGAAACAATCCAAGAATAGAAGACAACATTTAATTAAACAACAAAATGTGTGTTATAATTATAAATCCTAGGAGAGATCAGAAAGATCTCTAAAGATCAGAAAGATCTCTAAAGAACCATGTTAAAAAAATGATTCTAGAATTTCAAGAGAGGAATGTGCTTTAGGTTTCACATTGTTCTTCTTCTTTTTTTTTTTGAGATGAAGTCTTGCTCTGTGGTCCAGGCTGGAGTGCAGTGGCATGATCTTGGTGCGCTGCAACCATTGCCTCCTGGGTTCAAGCAATTCTCCTGCCTCAGCCTCCTGAGTAGCTGGGATTATAGGCACCCATCACCAAACCCGGCTGATTTTTGTATTTTTAGTAGAGATGGGGTTTCACTATGTTGGCCAGGCTGGTCTTGAACTCCTGACCTCAGGCAACCCGCCCACCTTAGCCTCCCACAGTGCTGGGATTACCAGCTAAGCCGTTATGCCTGGCCAAGAGATCATTCTTGAATAGAGGAAAAGAAAGGTATTGTCAGGAAACAATGTAAGGTTGAGAGATGATCATTACCTTAAGTGGTAAAAGATGCTGTTGGTGGAAACTACGCTGGCTAGAAATGGTGGTCATCATATTGAAGGAAGATCAAGTCAGATTCAGAGGATTTTGAGTATCATCTTCCTCCCAATAATTCTAGATATCCCTTGCAATTATAGAACTTTTAAAATTGCTTTGCTATTTTCATTTTTTATTTGGGGATTTAAAAAAAAAGATTCCTGGAAATTTTTGTTAGTGTCCTAAAAGATCATAGTTTTCTAAATCAGTAATTGCATAACTGTTCAACTATTTTTTGTAACTATTCAAACTATTTTAACTTTTTGCCTAGAGTATTTAAAAAAGATCTGTCCAATTTAATCTAATCTATCTATCCATTCATCCATCCCTCTGTTGCCCAGGCTGGAGTGCATGTGGTGACACCTTCATGGCTCACTGCAGACTGGACCTGCCATACTCAAGTGACCCTTCCACCCCTACCTCCTGAACAGCTGGAACTACAGATGTGCACCACCACACCCGGCCTAGATTATTTTAAATCTTACTAGTTTAGGCAAAACTTTGAATGTATTTTCAAATTTCTGAGTTACTATAATAAGTGAAATTATGCTTTTTTTTTTTTAAGGTCATACATCTATGCGATAAAACTATACTGGAGTCAGACATTCTTTGACTCAAATCTTACAGATGTCACTGTTAAGGATATTTTCACGCAACTGACAGGATTTATGTGAAGTTTAGACATACACACATAAAACACCTGATATGGGGCATATTTAGTTAAGTTGTCCTCAAATAATAGAGGACAACCAGTACAGTACCAATGGTAGGTACTCAAATGAGAGTTGTTAGTATCATTGCCACCTGCTACATTATAAATAAAAAGCAATATAGTTATCTAGCCTCTGGAGTTGGACTGCCTGGGTTAGAATCTGGGCTGTGGCACTTATTGGGGTGACTTGGGGTGTGTTGCTTATTCTCTTTTTGCCAGAGAATGGAGAAAGTAGTAACATTTATCTCAGAGCTGTTTTGAGGATGAAATGAGTTGATGGGTATGATGCCTGGCACTTAACAAATACTTTATATATGTTAGCTGTTATTTTCCTGAAATTTGGGGGCCAAAGCTAAATGCATAGAAAATTGCTTAGAGCAACTAACATCTTGTCATGATCCCTCCAAAGCTGATTTGGGAATAAATTGCCTATTACTAAATTATTGTTAGGAAAATGCTGACTTTTAAATATGTATCTACTCTTGCCTATCCTTTAGCTACTTTATCCGTATAGCTGGGGGAAAGTCAACAATGGCCTCTGCAAGGAAGGTAACTGAGAAGCGGCATAACCCAGTGGAAAGCATTTGTAGAAAGATCAGAGCTATCCACAAGAGAGAAGCCATTTCGAATCCAATTCAGCAGATTATCAAATACCAGTCTAGCAGTTTTGATAGCCCACAGACCAACACCAAGAGAGATTTTGAAGCGATACTGAGGAAAATGACTGCTGCTTGTGTTCTTACGCCTGACTCTCGTTGCTCAAGTTCTGAGGAAGTCCATGCCTTCATTTCATCTCCTCAAATAATATCTCCAAGAACCCCATCCACTTCTCACCTCAGCTCTTCTGAGACTGCAACATACTCTTTTATTCTCACAAGTTCCGAAAACGCCTCAAAGCCGAAGTCACAGAGCAACAAAAATTGCACATCTTTGATGTCCCAGATCAGAAAAGGGGAGTTTTTCTTTAACAAGGATTTGAATAACTATTGTTGTGAAAATAATTTCAGTACCTTAACACTTGACTTTAATTACACCTTTGGTCAAAGCTCAGAGTGTTTTGATCCTCAGGATTCAGTGGTAAAAAAGTTATCTCTGAATGAAGATGGTAAATATTCATCTTTTATTGTTTGTCCTTCCAATAGAGCAATAAGCATGTCTACTTTTAGAATACCTGAACTAAAAAAAAAAAAAACACATTATTAAAGTTTGGATGGAATCATCCATCTTTCCCTTTCTGTTTTATCTTTGTTTTCAGAACAAAATAGAATGTCATAATGGGAATCTTAGATATAGGGAAGAATTTCCCTATATGTAAGGAAGGCTCTTTATTATGATAGGTTTTCTTGGTTAAAATTAAACCAAAAAAGGAAAATTAATATTGTAGCACAGAAAGCCTCAGGATTTACAAACTTTTTCTTCTGATAGAATGGAAACAAGGAGCTGATGATGGTAAAGAAGATGTAAGACACAGCATCAACAGGGCCTGTGAAGAGGAGGCACTCACAAGTCTTTTTAATGCATGTGACAGAAAACAGAAAGGTAAGCTGGAAATTATCTGTTCACCTGTTTGGTAGGACTCACCAAGTCATCTGAACTTTCTATTGTGAGAGAAAGGAAAGTGATTTGTCTGTGGGGCTCACTGTCTGTGTCTACACATGTGATGGATCCCACGTAATCTGGGAATAAGATTTGCTCTGTAAGGCTTGGTTATTTTCTTATAATTTCTCTATGCCCGTTTTGCATCAGCTTATTTTAACAGTGACTTAAATGGTTCGTTTTCAGCTTATCAGCTGACTTACCATCTTTACTTATTGAAACTACTTACATGTCATAGGTGATGCCCCACAGGAAATATTCTTTTCAAATATGTAAAACTATACAAGTTTAACTCAAAATTTTTAGGTAATTTTGGACTTTCACTTCTGTTTTTCTTTAACTTTTGTTTTTGAGATGTGTTCTTTTTAAAATTTCCGGACCTAAAACTGCAAAAACCCTAGGAAATACCATACTGGACATTGGCCTTGGCAAATTATTTATTTATTTATTTTTTGTTGCATTTTAGGTTTGGGGGTACATGTGAAGAACATGCAAGATTGTTGCATAGGTACACACACGGCAGTGTGATGTGCTGCCTTCCTCCCCTTCACCTAATCTGGCATTTCTCCCCATGCTCTCTCTCCCCAACTCCCCACCCCCTGCTGCCCCTCCCCCATTTCCCCCCCATAGACCCCAGTGTGTGATGCTCCCCTCCCTGTGTCCATGTGTTCTCATTATTCAACATCTGCCTATGAGTGAGAACATGCAGTGTTTGATTTTCTGTTCTTGTGTCAGTTTGCTGAGAATGATGGTTTCCAGGTTCATCCATGTCCCTACAAAGGACACGAACTCATCGTTTTTTATGGCTGCATAGTATTCCATGGTGTATATGTGCCACATTTTCCCTGTTCAGTCTATCATCGGGTTGGGCATTTGAGTTGGTTCCAAGTCTTTGCTATTGTAAACAGTGCTGCAATGAACATTTGTGTGCATGTGTCCTTATAATAGAACGATTTATAATCCTTTGGATATATACCCAGTAACAGGATTGCTGGGTTAAATGGAATTTCTATTTCTAGGTCCTTGAGGAATCACCACACTGTCTTCTACAATGGTTGAACTAATTTACACTCCCACCAACAGTGTAAAAGTGTTCCTATTTCTCCACGTCCTCTCCAGTATCTGTTGTCTCCAGATTTTTTAGTGATCACCATTCTAACTGGTGTGAGGTGGTATCTCAATGTAGTTTTGATTTGCATTTCTCTAATGACCAGTGATGATGAGCATTTTTTCATATGTTTGTTGGCCTCATATATGTCTTCTTTTGTAAAGTGTCTGATCATATCCTTCACTCACTTTAAAATAGGCTTGTTTTTTCTTGTAAATCTGTTTTAGTTCTTTGTAGATTTTGGATATTAGCCCTTTGTCAGATGAGTAGATTGCAAACATTTTTTCCCATTCTATTGGTTGCCGATTCACTCTAATGTGTATCTGTAGGAATATAGCCTGTTTCTCTGTCTCCTATATTTAGAAATATAATCAGATAAAAGTTTGAGGGTTTTGTTTTTTGATTTTGGTTGGGCAAGAATTCTATTAGGTTGGTGCAAATGTGATTGCAGTGCAAAAACTGCAATTGCCTAGATTTGTATTTTCACTAGATGTTGAAAATGGTGATATTCTATCATTCCTTCCTAATGTATCCTGAAATACATCTATAACGAGAAACTCTACTCTGCTTTATCAACTATTTTGCTATCCCGAGTCTTGTGTTCTAAAGGAGAGGCAGGATACAAGCTTGATTGATTCTCTTTATCTACCAGTTTTCAAAATGATAAATTGGGACTGGGTGGGGTGTCTCATACCTGTAATCCCAGCACTTTGGGAGTTGGAGGTTCCACTTGAGGCCAGCAGTTCGAGACCACCCTGGGAAACATGATGAAACCATGTCTCTACTAAAACTAGAAAAATTTAGGCTGGGTGTGGTGCTCCAAGCCTGTAATCCCAGCATTTTGGGAGGCTGAGGTAGGTGGATCACTTGAAGCCAGGAATTTGAGACCAGCCTAGCCAACATGGCAAAACCCTGTCTCTACTAAAAATACAAAAAATTAGCCAGGCATGATGGCAAACACTTGTAATCCCAGCTACTAGGGAGGCTAAGGCACAAAGAGCATTTGATCCTAAGAGGGTGAGGCTGCAGTGAGCCAAGATGGTACCACTGCATTCCAGCCTGGGAGACAAAGCGAGACTCCATCACAAAATTAAAGAAAACTTAGCCAGGCAACAGAATTGCTAACGATGGTTGAAGATGTTTTCTTGGTCATCCTTTTTTTAAAAAATGATAAACTAATATATTCTCGAGTATGTGTGAGAATATTTTCAAATTTGTTTTATAATCTGCTTTTCCTCATTTAATAATTTGAGTACCTGTCTATATCAAAAAATGTTCTTCATATCCTATGCCATTTTTTGATGTAACATGTTTAACCAATCCATCTCAATTGGATATTATTTTTTTCTGTTATAACAATTATAATATACCAGGCATGAGAGCTCATGCCTATACTCCCAGCAATTTTGGAGGCCAAGGCAGGGAGATCACCTGAGGCTAGGAGCTCAAGATCAGCCTGGACAACATAGCAAGACCCTGTCTGTAAAAAACAATATTTTAAAAATTAGCTAGTCATGGTGGCACATGCCTGTAATCCCAGCTACTCAGGAGGCTGAGGTGGGAGGATGCCTTGAGCCTAGAAGACTGTGGCTGCAATGAACTTTGATCATGCCACTGCATTTTAGCCTGGGCAACACAGTGAGACTCTGTCTCAAAAAATCACAAAACTGTAATAAATATTTTACATATAAAAACACTGTATTGAACACTTGTAGCAGAATATTTGCATGGACCCTTATTTATTTCTTTAGGATGAGTGGGCATTATTTGTTCCCAGAGAGCTTCTCTGCTTGGACAGGATTTAAGAAATTAATTCTCTGAAGAAAATAAGAAAGCTTCACTGAAGGGAAATGGGATGTGTATTAGCCAGGGCTTTCTGGTGGGAAGATATATTTGTATCTATCTATTTAGCTAGCTAAAGGGACTTATTATAAGGAATTGGGTCATGTGATCATGGAGACGGGCAAATTCCAAGATCTGCAGGGTGTCAGCAAACCAGGGATTCAGGACATCTAACAGTTTAGTCCCATTCCAAGTCCACAGGCCTAAGAACTAGGAGAGCTGCTGGTGTAGTTTCCATCCAAAAGCCAGTAGGCTTGAGGGAAGGAAGAGCCAACATTTCAGTTCAAGTATGGAAACAGAAAAAATAATCCATGTTCCAGTTTGAAGGTAGGCAGGCAAGAGAAGTTCTGTTACCTGGGAGAAGGTCAGCCTTTTTGTTCCATTCAGGCCTTCAGCTGACTGGATGAGGCCCACCAACATTAGCTGGACAATTCTGCTTTACTCAGACTGTAGATTTAAATGTTAATGTCATCCAAAAATAACCTCACAGACACATCCAAAATAATATTTGGTATAACCAAATATCTAGGTACCCCGTGGCTCAGGTTGACACATAACCGTCACAGGATGTCTTCCTGGTTTTTTGTTTTTGTTTTTGAGATGGAGTCTGTTCTGTCGCCTAGGCTGGAGTGCAGTGGCACCATCTCAGCTTACTGCATCCTCTGCCTCCCATGTTCAAGCAATGCTCCTGCCTCAGCCTCCCAAGTAGCTGGGATTACCTGCCTCAGCCTCCCAAGTAGCTGGGATTACCTGCCTCAGCCTCCCAAGTAGCTGGGATTACAGGTATATGCCAACATGCCTGGCAAATTTTTGTGTTTTTAGTAGAGATGGGATTTCTCCATGTTGGTCAGGCTGGTCTCAAACTCCTGACCTCATGATCCACCTGCCTCAGCCTCCCAAAGTGCTGGGATTACAGGCGTGAGCTACCAAGTCCGGCCATCTTTCTAGTTTTTATATGATAGAGGGCTTAGAGTTTTAGTGGAGGAAAATGTGATAAATGGATTCTTGCTGGCTTTCCAGCTTGCTTCCCAGTTCTTCTACAAATAAAAAAATGCAATTCTCTGTTGGGCATAGTGGCTCACACCTGTAAATCTCAGCACTTTGGGAGGCCTAGGCAGGTGGGTCCCTTAAGTCCAGGAGTTCAAGACCAGCCTGGGCAACATGGCAAAATCCCATCTATACAGAAAATACAAACATTAGCTGGGTGTGGTTGCACATGCCTATAATCCCAGCTACGAGGGAGGCTGAAGTGGGAGGATCACTTGAGCCCAAGAGATTGAGGCTGCAGTGAGCCATGAGCATTCCAGCTGAGCAACAGAGCAAGACTCTGCCTCAAAAAAAAAAAAAAAAAAAATACAATTCACTCTCTAAATAATAAATAGTATTAGCCATTTTATTTCTTTCTAATACTATCAAATCTAATGACTTGTTATTAATAACTTTGAAGTTATTCAGTCTCCTTTATGAGTATCTCCTCCTTCTAATTGAGACTTTTTTTTTTTTTTTTTCTGATGTCATGGTCTATCAATATTTCCTTCAGGGAAGAACCTTCACTCTGGCATCTGCTCTGTCAAACTCCTACTTAATTTTTCCCTCTCCCTTGCAAGTAGCCAGCACAAGGCAGGTCCTAAATGGGAGCAAAAGAAAAGCCTTATGTTTAAAAGAGATTGGCGTGTGAATTACTTAGTTTGGATGATTGATTTTATTCTCTGAATGTGGTATTAGAGATGACTGTCTAAGAATGCCTCCTCCATCCCCCAAAAGTAGAAATTTTTACTTGAGATTGAAATTTTAACTAAGGCAGAGAAAAAACTTCCTTCATTTAATGCTTTTTTTTTTTTTTTTTTTTTTTGAGACGGAGTTTCGCTCTTGTTACCCAGGCTGGAGTGCAAAGGTGCGATCTCGGCTCACCGCAACCTCCGCCTCCTGGGTTCAGGCAATTCTCCTGTCTCAGCCTTCTGAGTAGCTGGGATTACAGGCACGTGCTACCATGCCCAGCTAATTTTTATTTTTAGTAGAGACAGGGTTTCACCATGTTGACCAGGATGGTCTCGATCTCTTGACCTCTTGATCCACCCGCCTCGGCCTCCCAAAGTGCTGGGATTACAGGCTTGAGCCACTGCGCCCGGCCAATGCTTTTTAAGGAAAAACTGAAAGGAAAAAAAAATGTAACGTCATTTTGGTTACCTCCCACGAGAAATTATTGATTACATATATCATCAGTATTTAAATGTCACAGTTCTGTGTGATAGGTATCATCACCCCATCTCAGATAAAGGAATGGGTTCACAGAGGTTAAGTAATATTCCCAAAGCTGTATAGCTGGTAATCTTCAGAGCCAAGATTTGACACTAGGTACGTTAGAGTCTAGCCCAAGGCCAGTGTTCTTTATACCATGCCAGCTCCACAGAACTGCCAGGGTTATATAGCATGTTTCTAGGATCCATGAGACGTAAAAGAGAAAAGTACTTCACTTGTTAGAATTGTAACTTTCTCTGTCTTTCGAAACTGATCTGCCCTTCTTTTTCCAAAGGCTCAGTAGGAGCGGCCAAAATAATCAGTTTACTGAGACAAACAACTAGCCAAAATGCTGAAGACAGTAGCCTTGAGCAGTTGTGGAACATGCTTGATCCTGAGAAGAGAGACCCACATGTGGACCTGGAAACTTTCCAGGCCATGATGAAAGAATGGATGGCTTACTGTGGAAACAAATGGTAATCAGAGTCCTAGTGGGAGGCGGCTTAAGATTCTATATTTTAACAATTGATTATAATTATGCTAATCACTGTTTTCTGTGTTGATGGAAATACTGTCGACCAGTGCTTTAGCATGCATTAGAATCACCTGAATGATGTTAAACCTGCTTGCTCAGGCCCCACCACCATGATTCAGTAGATCTGGGGTGAATCCTGATAATTTACCTTCTAACAAGTTTCCGGTGATATTGATGCTGAGCGCAGACTGCTCATGCTTTGGAATCACTGCTGTCATTCATTTCTTGTGATTAGTGAGGAGCACATGTTACGTTCTCACAGAGAACTGAGCTGACATACGAGTCAGGTGAATTAGTGATACTCTCAAATCTCCAAATGTATTTAAATTTAATAATAGACTCCCTTTTAAGTCCAGAGGGGCGAGTAAGTGAATGTAATTAGGAATCCCAGAATATAGGGAGTCTAAAGGGAAAAAGAATAGTAGAAAAGAAAAAGGAGGAGAATGGCACCCACAGTCTTCTCAGGTGCCCTTGGCAGATGTTGGAGATGTGTGTCTTCTTCCACAGTAAGCCTAATTCCACTTTTTTTTTTTTTTGAGATGGAGTCTCACTCTGTTGCTGAGGCTGGAGTGCAGTGGTGCAATCTCAGCTCACTGCAACCACCACCTCTCATGTTCAAGCGATTCTCCCACCACAGCCTCCAGAGTAGCTGGAATCACAGGTGTGTGCCACCATGCCTAGCTAATTTTTGTATTTGTATTAAGATGGGATTTCATCATGTTGGCCAGGCTTGTCTAGAACTCCTGACCTCAGCTGATCTGCCCACCTCAGCCTCCCAAAGTGCTGGGATTACAGGTGTGAGCCACCCACTACACCTGGCCAGGAAGCCTAATTCCTATGCCTCCTATTCAGCCACCAGTCTTCAGCTATCTGCTGATGCATGCTAGGATTTGCATAAAGAAAATATTGACTGGGCATGGTGGCTCACACCTGTAATCCCAGCATTTTGGGATGCCAAGTCGGGCCAGTCAGCTGAGGTTGGAGACCAGCTGGGCCGACATGGTGAAACCCCATCTCTACTAAAAATGCAAAAATTAGCTGGGTGTGTTGGTGCACACCTGTGATCCCAGTCACTTGGGAGGCTGAGGCGGGAGAATTGCTTGAACGCAGGAGGTGGAGGTTGAAGTGAGCCTAGATGGTGCCACAGCACTCTTGCCTGGGCAACAGTGTGAGACTCAAAAAAAGAGAAAATGTCAAGAGCAAGAAATGGAAAAACTTACCAGATTTCTGGTAGGATTATGATATATAGATGACTTAAAAAAATGTAAGTGAAATGTTACAGGTTAATCATGAAGGCAAGATAAATATATAGAAATAAGTAATGTTAGTGTAATCAGCAACTGTAAATATAGATAACATACCATTTTACCCATTAGTTTAACAAAGATTTTAAAAAATGACTCTATCCCATGTTGTGGGCTGGGGAAAGGGTGAAGAAATAAGCCCTCCCATCTGCTATTGGTAGTAATGCAAGTTGGCATAGGTTTTTTAAAGAGCAATTTAGAAATGTGTATCAGGCCCTTCAAAATATGCAGTCTTAGCCAGGTGTAGTAGCTCATGCCTATAATCCCAGCACTTTGGAAGGCCAAGGTGGGAGGATCACCTGAGGCCAGGAGTTTGAGACCAGTCTGGGCAACTCAGCAAGATCCTGTCTCTACAAAAAATTTAAAAATTAGCCAGTTATGGTGGTATGTGCCTATAGTCCTGGCTACTTGGGAGGCTGAGGTGAGAGGATTACTTGAGCCCGGGAGTTTGAGGCTGCAGTGGATTGTGGTAGAAGCACTACACTTCAGCCTGGGCAAGAGAGTGAGGCCCTGTCTCGCCCCCCAATAAAAGCAGCCTCTTTGAGAAGTAATGTAACTTTAATCAAGATAATTAACTATAAACACCAATATAGAAGGTTGACGGTAGTTTATGACAAGTGATAAATATAAGCAATTTAGATATTTAAAAAGAGACAGTTGGACAAATAAATTATATTACTTTCATACACTGGAATCCTAGTCATTCAAGGTAATATTAGATAAGAGAAATTCATATGTAATTATTTGAAATAAATAGGTCACAAATCTCTACATGTAGTATAATCCCATTTTTGGAAGAAAAAATATACGTAAGAAAAAGTTGGAAATAATTTATGCCAAAGTGATTATTTTTACATAATGGTTAATTTTTTTGTTTTCTTATGAATTTAATATTTCCAAAACATGCAAGTTTGATTGTATAATAAAAATATTAATAATTATAAAACAGCATGAAGACAAAAGAAAAACATTTATAATAAATATAAAGGAAAAAATATGGGAGGTGGAAATATAGAAGAGCAGAAACTCAGAAACGGGAATGGGTATGAACACAGCAATAGGACGCTGTGTGAGTTTTTTTTGTTCTCCCAACTTGTGACAGACATTTCACAATGACAGACAATGAGATGTAAACATCTATTTGTGGGATCTTGTGTCTGCTCCAGAGAGAAGCTTGAGAATTTGGTGCTTAGGTTAAGTAACCAAACTTAAATTATAATATAAAAACTCTGAAAGGAAATGGTTGAAATGTCAATGTTTTTATTTTGCAGTTCAAGCTAGAGTGTGTGTGCTGCACAGCCTGTACACAGGGTTTCCCAGATTTCAGGAGTAAAATGCCCAAAGTAAAATTAGTCCAGGTACTATTTGGTTCTCCATGAGAAAGGGAATATATATCCTTGTCAATGTATCCCAAAGTATTCGTTGTTCCCGTATTTCCTTCACAATCCTTTAAGGCCCATGATCTTACAATCTCCACTGACCACTCCAGCCTATGTCTACTTCCTAATCCAACAAGACACCACATCTGCTAATCACGTGCTGCCTGTGTGTTTTCTTTTTCATATCAGGTAAAAGTTTGTGGATGGCAGAGGTAATGCCTAATGTACCACCTACATCAGAAACAGTTTCACTAGTAACACAAATTCTTTTTTAGCACTCTAAGTACCTAGCATAGTATTGGGCTCCAAATAGTTGTTGAATGAAAAAAAAAAAAAAATATATATATATATATATATATATGTATGTATATTTTAACTCAGAAAAATATACCTAAAAAGGAAAGTACAGAGCATAAATCTAAGAAACAAAACAAACAAAAAAACAAAAAAAAACAAAAACAAAACTGTGGTCTGGCAAAGAGTCCTAGCTCACTAGTTTTGCTTTTTTTGGCTACAGGAATGGAGTGAATCATAGATTAAGCGGCACCATTGATGATTCTGCTTTTGAACAGGACGGCATAATATCAGATGGAACAAGTATGTATGTGTTTCTTCAGGATTGTTCTGCCATTTCCTTATGTATTGGAGAAAATGATTTTTTTTTTTTTCATAAAACTCTTGTATGTATTTCAGTGAAGATGAGCACAGATGTAACAAATTCTACGTCGGGGAGTTTCGAGGCTTTTGGTGGAGATACATCTAAAGGAGTCTTGTAAGCCTTGTTTACCCTGTGATACTTTTGCATGTGTTTCAACTTTATTTTTCTTGTTTATTTCATAAATCTATATATTTCAGTTATGATAAAGTCACTTTGCTTTTTTATTGCAGTAGGACTAACATAATTGATTTTAAATTCTTAATCTGATTCTAATACTGCCTGTATTAGAAACAGTTTCACTAGGAACAGAAATTCTCACATGACTAGCAAATCCAAAATCACTTGCTTTCTCATGAAACCCTTCTCCTTCATTAACTTCATGTGTTTTCTGTAGGAAAAAAGTTCCTCTTGAAGTCCGGTTATGATATTGACCTTAAGCTCTTTTGGAGATTATTTTAAAGCACTTCTTTAGTAGAATCTTTTAGGCAAAAATGAGAAAAGCTGTTTTCCATGACGTGTAAGTTTTAGATATTAAGGAGAGTGATTCTGTCTCTCCCTTATTTTATCTTTGCCACTTCAGGTTTATCTGTGAAAAGTGGAGTGAGCTGGGCATGGTGGCTCATGCCTATAATCCCAGCCCTTTGTGAGGCTGCGGCAGGTGGATCACTTGCAGCTGGTCCAGAGTTGAGACCAGCCTGGCCTACATGATGAAACCCCATCTCTACTAAAAATACGAAAATTAGCTGGGCATGGTGGCACAGGCCTGCAGTCTCAGCTACTCAGGAGGCTGAGGCATGAGAATGGCTTGAACCTGGAAGGTGGATATTGCAGTGAGACGAGATGGTGACATTGTACTGCAGCCTGGTGACAGAGTGAGATTCCATCTCAAAAAAAAAAAAAAAAGTGAAGTGAGAACTGTGTTCTCAATCTGAGCGAGGCCCTGGGATGAGATAGCAAAAAAGCAAAGGAGGCCTGGGACTCCATGAAACACATAGTCCAGACTCTTAAATTAGGATTTATGAACTGATGTCATGGCAAATGATGCTCATAAACATTGGCAAGCTATACATAACATTAAGAAAGATGAATACTGAATTGTGAGCCACAGACTACAATGATAAGACTCTAGGATTTGTTTCCAGTGTAAACCTACTGAGATCCCTTCACTGAAAGAATATAGGCTGGGCATGATGGCTCATGCCTGTAATCCCAGCACTTTGGGAGGCTGAAGCAGGTAGATCATTTGAGGTCAGGAGTTCAAGACCAGCCTGGCCAACATGGTGGAACCCCATCTCTACTAAAAATACAAAAATTAGCCAGGTGTGGTGACACATGCCTGTAGTCCCAGCTACTCTGGAGGCTGAGGCAGGAGAGTTGCCTGAATCTGGAAGGCAGAGGATTGTGCCACTGCTCTCCAGCCTGGGCAACAGAGCGAGACTGTCTCAAAAAAAAAAAAATTATGTCCATTTATTTCAGGATCTCTCATGTTCCAGGCAGAAATAGAAACTCTTCAGTTTAGAAGACAAATGTTGAGAGTGAAGTGGAAAAGAATCAACAAAAACTGTAGAAGTTGATTTTACAACTGGCAAATGATGGCTACTTGGAAATTTTGGAAAACATCTTTGGTGTTATTGTAATAAACATTTGAATAGCTATTTATTAGATAAATATGTTTATGATGACAGATGAGGGTAAAGTAAAAATAAAATACTCACCAGAATATTTCAGTCTGGTTTGTTTAACCTTATACCTTATTTTTATTAGAAGGAATTAGTGATGTGAAGGTTATTCTCATGTATTCTTTCACTTGCAGAGAAGTGTCTGATTTGATTGCCTATGTAGCAGACCTCCATTTCAACAAGCAAAAACTGGAAGAGGAAAATAGTAAGTTTAAATTGGCTTTAGAAACTTTGGAAGAAACGAACAGCCAGTTATCAGAGGACTGTACCAAACTGCGCCATCAGGTAAAAAGGTGAGCCACAGTGGGGTCCAGTGTGCTGGGAACATTCAGTTCTTTATTCTCTTTTTAAAAAACCTCTTTAAAATTGAGATTCATATAGCATAAAATTTGTTCTCTTAAAGTATACAATACAGTGTTTTTAGAGTATATTCTCTGGTTGGGCATGGTGGCTCATGCTTATAATCTCAGCACTTTGGGAGACTGAGGCAAGTGGATCACTTGAGGTCAGGAGTTGACCAGCCTGGCCAACATGGTGAAACTCTATCTCTACTAAAAATACAAAAATTAGCTGAGCATGGTGGCACGAGCCTGTAATTCCAGCTACTCTGGAGGCTGAGGCAAGAGAATCTCTTAAACCCAGGAGGCGGTGGTTGCAGTGAGCCAAGATCATGCCACTGCACTTCAGACAGCAAGACTCTGTCTCAGAAAACAAAAACAAAAAACCATAGTGAATATTCTCAAGGTTATGCAATCATCACCATTACCAATTCCAGGTTATTTTCATCACTCTGAAAAGAAACTCCATACTTCTCAGCAGTCACTCTCTATTTCCTCTCTCCTTAGCCTCTGGCAACCTCTATTCTACTTTCTGTCTCTACAGATTAGCCTACTCTAGACATTACATATAAAGGGAATCATGCAAAATGTGACCCTTTTTGTATGGCTTATTTCACTATGTTTTTAAGGTTTATCTATGTTGTAGCATGTATTGCTACCTCATTTCTTTTCATGGCTGAATAATATTCCATTGTATAGCTATATCAGATTTTGTTCTTCAGATGATGGACATTTGGGGTGTTTCTATTTTTTGGCTATTAGAAATAATGCTGCTATGAACATTTGTGCATGAGTTTTTGAGTGGATTTGTTTCTCTCTTTCTTCCTTTCTTCTTTCCTTTCTTTTCCTTCTTTTTTTGAGACAGGGCCTCGCTTTGTCATCCAGGCTGGAGTGCAGCAGCATGATCACTGCTCACTGCATGCATCCTCTGTCTCCTGGGCTCCAGTAATCTTCTGGCCTCACGGTCCCAAGTAGCTGGGACTACTGGAGCACGCCACCATGCCTGGCTAATTTTTGTGTATTTCTAGGGACAAGATCTCGCCGTGTTTCTTAGGTTGGTATTGAACTCCTGGTCTCAAGTAATCCGCTCATATCAGCCTCCCAAAGTGCTGGGATTACAGGAGTGAGCCCCCATGCCCAGCCATATGTTTCACTAAAGCATTCTCATCCTCAAAATCTTTGACCTTGTTCAGTCCAGTCTCTAAACTCATCTTTAAAAGAAGTGTTTACCTCAAGTCATTTCACAGTTGGCTTATTATTTAACTGAAATACAAAAATTTCACAGTTGGCTTATTATTTCACAGTTGGCTCATTTCACAGTTGGCTTATTATTTAACTGAAATACAAAAATTCAAAGTTTATTTAACAAAACTGCTTTGGATGAATATATTGGTCAGGATTTTTGGTTGCAAGCACTGGAATCTAACTCTGGTTAAATGGGCAGTCATATCAGAAAGGAATTAAGTAACTCACATAATAGACAAAAGGGCTGAAGAATCCAGATGGGCAGTCAGAATGCCACTGTCAACAAAATTAAGCCATGTGTCTTTCTCTTTTCTCCTTCCCCTAATCCTTTCTGAAGTCTCTGTTTCCTTTGGGTTCCCACACCTATTTTTGATATTGTACAGTTGTCCCATCATAGTGTAATTTGGCTTCTGTATTAACTGTTGAGGCAGAAGAGTTCCCTTGAACCCCTCCTGGGACTTGCCACGGGGGTGTCTTGTTTCTTCAACTGCCATGCTCAAACCCCTGGCAGGAGGGAGAGCATGCAGGTAAGCAGGTGTAGGAGCTGGATGAGTGCCTTTGGATGCCAGCAAGAGCAAACCCTGTACCAGCCTGTGTCAGCATCTAGGGTTGCCCACAACCTCTGGAGCCCCAGAGGGCATGTGTTACAAGCAATACTCTTTTAGCATTTGCCATCTGTGGATGGCTAAGTGTTAAACCAGCTCAGTGGAGGGTCAGGGTGACAGCCTTTTATACCCTGCCCTCTTGGTACCCGGGTTCTTGTCCAGACTCCAGGAAGAATCAGGTCACACAGACTTGAAGGATGGTGAATGGGGAGATTGTATCGAGTGGTGGAAGTGGCTCTCAGTGGGATGGGGAGATTGAAAGGGGATGGAGTAGAAAGATAATCTTCCCCAGGAGTTCAGCTGTCCCAGCCGAACTCTTCTCTGACAGTCCCTGGCCAAACTCCTCTCTGACCTTAGTCTCTGATGTCTAGCTGCCTCTTCTTCTCTTGATGTTCAGAGCTTCTTCTCTTCTCTCCTTCTCTGCCACACTGTTCTGCTCCTCTGCCAGTGGAGCTTGGGGTTTTTACAAGCACAGGCTAGGGGGTGCAGCAGGCCAAAAGGCAACACTTCAGGAGGGAAAATGGGGATGTGAAGTTCTTATTTAGGGCTGTGGGTCCAGGACTAAGGGTGGAATTCCTGCCAGGGACCCTGCCCTTTTCTACCTAGTATTTGCCTGTCTCTTGTTCGTATCACTGTGACCTCCTTGATGGGAGGAACTATGTCAAATACATCCTGTTTAGCCTAATGCTCATTAGAGTATCTACCATAGAACAGCACTACCTTCCTTCCAGCTGCCTACAAGCCAAGAACCCTTATCTCTTTTGATTCTTAGCATACTGTGTTGTCATTATGATTGTCTATTTATCCCACTAGGCTATAAACTCCAGGTGAGTACAGTTCTCTGGATTCAGTCATTTTTGCCTTCTTCAATGCCTTGTATGGTGCCTGGAGCAGGTTTAGTGCTCAACTAGTGTGTGTTGAATTATCAGTGTAATTTCTTAGTAAGGAGAAAATTTTATCTGCTTTGAAGCCTTTGTTCCTATGGGACAGTCTATAATCTAATGGGAGCTACAGATAGTTAATTTCATGATACGGATTACACAATTCATTTAATCAGTTCTCTGTTGGTGGATGTTTAGGTTTTCTTCCAATGCTCTGTTATGATCAACAGTATGTTAAACTTCTTTAAAGAATATGTCATGTGTAATTATTTCTTTGTTTAGTTGTCATCTCCCTCCGTAGTATGTAAGCTCTGTAAAACCAAGGACCATGTCCCTTTTGTTCACCATTTTAGCCTGCATTGTAGAGCACCTAGAACGTTAGGTATTATTCAATAAATACTTACGGAACTGCGTTAACTAACATTACATCTTCTTAGTAGGGAGAAAGAACCAGGTGATTCAGCCAGTAATGGATTTTTAAAGGGATCCTCTACATCTTAGCTTCAGGAATATATTTGTCTGTTTTCCCTCTAGTCTCCATTCCCCACTCCCCACTTTTTCCAAATTCCTTCCTTTTCCAAGGACTGAAAGATCATGGGTATATTTTTACTATTGCGGGCATCTGGTTTAAGCCTTTAGTGGTTTTCAACTTGGGTCCAAAATAGTCCTTGGCTGTTCTTAGTATCTTTGACGGTTATATTTGAGGTTTTGCTCATGGCCTTCTCCCCCACCCCCACAGTGCCCACCAGGCTATTATGAGAACAAATCTGTTAAAAGAAGAACTGGAGGAACTGAAACTTAGTATGAATGCTTCAGAAGAGCAGAAGAGCATGATTGTAGCCCAGAGCAAACAATTAGTAAGTCATCTATTATAGTACTTTGAATTTGACATATAGTTTACATAACTGAAATCTATAAGGGGACTTATCTTACAGCAAATATCAGAAGTCAATAGGCTGATGAATGAATTGGTAACACTTTAGAAAAGCAAAGGCAGGTAGGATTTTTTTTTTTTTTTTTGAATCTGTGTTTTCCTTTTCTTTCTTTTACTTTTCTTTTGTTTCTTTACCATTTTTTTTTTTTTTTTTTTTTTTTTTTTTTTTTTTGAGACAGGATCTTGCTCTGTTGCCTTGCAGTGGCAGGATCATGCCTTATTGCAGCCTTGACCTCCCAGGCTCAAGCAGTCCTCCCACTTGAGCCTCTCAAAGTGTTGGGATTATCGTCATGACCCACTATGCTTGACCTCCTTTTCAATAAAGATTAAAATTTTTTACGTTTCTCAGTCACTTTCACAATAGTTTGTGAAAATCCAGAAAATATCTGGAATTCCTCTTAAAGTTGATAGAATTTAAAAATATCTGATACTAAAAACTACTTGAATTTAAAAAAATTATCTGTGAGACTTTCACCTTTTTTTGATTTTTTTTTTTTTTTTTTTTTTTTCTGAGACAGAGTCTTGCTCTGTTGCCAGGCTGGAGTGCAGTGGCATGATCTTGGCTCACTGTAACTTCTGCCTCCCAGATTCAAGTGATTCTCCTGCCTTACCCTCCCAAGTAGCTGGGACTACAGACACATACCATCAGGCCCAGCTAATTTTTTTGTATTTGTAGTAGAGACCGGTTTTACCATGTTGGCCAGGATGGTCTCCATCTCTGGACCTCATGATCTGTCCGCCTTGGCCTTCCAAAGTGCTGGGATTACAGGCGTGACCCATTGCACCTAGCACTTTAACCTTTTTTCGTAGTTTAAAATAAAATTCGTTCTCTCAGTACTTACAGGTTGCAGAGAAGCCCCATAAATCATTGAATCTAGGAGCCAGAGGCTGCAGTGAGCTGAGATTGCACCACTGCATTCCACCATGGATGACAGTGAGACTTGGTCTCAAAAAATAAATAATTAAAGTAAAGTGCACAGTCCTAGACACAGAATCCTAATCATTTGCATTTTTTAGTGCTTTATAATTTCAAAATATTTAGTTAATACTTCATCTTATAGGTAATAACAGAAAATCTGTAAGGTAGAAACAAAAGTTGCTATATTTTTATAGGTTAAAACATTTAATAGAGCAATAAAGTTCAGAGAAAGTTTTTAATTGTTCAAAGTCAAGTGTCTAATAAATGATAGAGCTAAATTAACTTTTTATGGTGTATATGTACTTCAGAACATCATGTTATATGTGATAAAAGCATATGATGTTATTTATCTGTCAATTTTTAAAAAATGGTAGGGCCAGAATTGAACTCAGGTATTCTGATTTTAAGTACGTGGAGGGGGAGCAGGTGTTTATTATTGTGTCAATGAAATCCTAGCTTGAGATATCTTTTTCTTTCATTTTTATATTTTAAAGGTAATGCCTATTTACTTTATAAGAATAAACAAATGCATATTAACAAATAAAAAGTTTCACAAAATTCTTAACCTACCCGTGACATTTACTGTTAACATTTTGGCAAATATCCTGTCCTGAAATATATTAATTTTTTTCTGATGGTTCTGAATTTGAGGCTAATTATAAAACAGTTTTTGATGCTCATATGTTGTGATGATACTGAATCTGAGAATATCCACAGCTTCAAATAGAAAGCCAGAGCTCTGTGATTTCGAGGTGCTATTTAAATAGCTGAGTTTGCAACTACCTGTCATAAATGAAGTAGCAGGGAAAGAAGCCAGGTTGTTGCTTTTTTTGGTTTTTGTCTTTTCTTCCCTAATAAACATAGTTACACTGAGTCCAGGAGGAGAATGACTTAACTTAGATCCCCAAGAACCTGTAAGCCAAGGCTTAACGCCACACTGAAAATATTTTCAGAGTAGGCTGATTCGTGGTAAGTGAATGCCACATTTAAAGTTGGTAAAGAGAAAGAATGTCAATAGCCTGGAGGTAAATATGTGGTATTTTCATAAACATCTTAAATACATTTTAATTATTTTTCTCACAATGAATTAGGAGACAGAAAACCGGGCTCTGATTCTTAAGATTCGGATTCTACAGGAAGAGGTATGTCAGAGTCATTAAACACTGACATAAGCAAACATGTACATCACATCATGGGTTATGACTGTGGGTTAAATAAAAATCATGTGGATAGTCAGGCTCCTCTGGCCAGACAGCAGGTTGATTTGTCAGATTACAGGTGAGGAGGAGTGGATGGGATTTTCATGTCTGAACAGAGGAACTATTGCTTTTGCAATTATTCTTGGAAGAAATGGGATTTAAGAAATTCAAATTTAAGATGAAATACAATGAACCCATCTAAAAAATACATAAATCAAGAAGGAAGCTGTGGATGTTATCTAATAATTTTTTATTATAATTCCATTGAACAGAGTGACAAAATCTTGAATATAAGATTCACATCTTAAATTCACTGAAAAAATGACCTTGGAAAAATCATTTACCTTTTCTGGGCTAACAGTATCTATTCCAGGGAGTTATTTTTGAGATTAACTAAGATAATTCATGTGAAGCTGTTTGGTAAACCATGATGTACCTTATAAATATTAGGAAATAATATAATCTCAAAGAAAAAGACTAATTTTTTTAAAACAGCAAAATTGAAGTATGGAAAGAACAGAACAAGCTACTAGTAAGTTACTGTTTTGCAGGGAAAATTCTATCTTGTATAATAGATATCATTTTAATATCAAGTAGCATGCCAGTTTTTAAATTTTGCTTTTATGTAAGGCTATCAGAAGTATTTATGAAGCTGTGCTGCACGGTCTAGAGAGTTATTCAAAATGTGGGCCAAGTGGGTATTTTAAAATTTTAAAGTGGATTGGAAAGGAACAATTAAAGATTGGAAAGAAAGCCTACATTAAGATTCAGAGCTGTTATAGCCTCAAGGCCAGGCTTTTGTGAAACTAGTGCTTTAAAATTAAACTTCTAATGTAAAATATTTTTCTCCTCTTATTTAAATGACTGACAAGCATCAAAGAATTGTATCAAACCATTTCAGAATTGAGATAAAGGAAGATTTAAAGCTCTTCATCATGAAATAGCATTGCAATTATTGACTTACATTAGAAAAATGAATATAAGTGTTACAACTAGCTAAGATTCCTTCGGGAGGGAAAAATCTGATGCATTGTGGAGTAACATCACAATGGTTTGGGTAGTGAATCACTTTTATTCATTCATTCATTTAGTTCATTCAACACATACTCATTGGAAGACCTCAGAGCTAATCTAAGTGCTGAATATATGAGCTTAGCAAAATAGCTCGTGTGGAACTAGTATGTTAGATGGTAAAAAGAGCTATGGAGAAAAGAAAAGAAAAGCAGAACACAGAATTGAGGCAGAGAGGAGTGCAATTTAAACTAGGGTGGTAGGAAAAGCAGCCGTATAAAGCTAATCCTTTGGTTTAAAACTGGGAAAGGAGGTTTATCTGTGAAAGAGCCTTCCAGGCAGAAGAAATAGTAAGCTCAAACTCGTGAGGCTACTGCCTGCCTGCTATTTTGGAGGGACAGTGAGGCCGGAGTGTCTGGAGCAAAGTGAGGAAGTAGCAAGAGATGCAGGCCAAGAGCTGGTGGGGTCAGATACCAGGGGCTTACACAGGCATTGCAAGGACTCTGGCTTTTTTTTGTTGTTGTTGTTGTTGTTTTTAAAAAAAAAAAAAAGAACACTTGGGTGAGACAGGAGCCACTGAAGGGTTTCGAGCAAAGGAGTAATATGATGTAATTTTGTTTTAACAAGACAACTCTGGCTGCTAGGTTTAGAATTCATTGCAGCAGGGCAAGAGAAGAAACAGGAATATCCATTAGGAGGCCCTTGAAATTATCCAGTCAAAAGCTGAGGGGGGCTTGGACTGAGCAGTTGCAGTGGAGATGGATAGCAGTGTTTGGATCAGGAAATGCGTTGTAATATATCCAAAGATATTTCTTATGCATTCAGGTAAGAAGGACATTTTCTTCCCGTTGTTTCTAGTGTCTCAGTGAAATACAAAGCAAAGTCATCAGCTAAGAGTGTGGATGTTAAAGGAGGTATTGGAAATTTGAGGAGAAAGAATGAAATGGGCTAGGGGTTGGAAAACTTTTTGTAAAGGGCCTGATTATAAATATTTTCGGGCTTTGCTAGCCACAAAAATTCCCTTTGTGGCAACTACTTACCTCTGCGTTTGTATTGTGAAAGCAGTCATAACCAGTATGTACTCAAATGGGCACAGCTTGCTCTGATAAAGCCTTATTTACAAAAACAAGTTATCAGCTAAATGTGACCTTTAGGGGTGGAGTGACGGGGGTGGGCATAGTTTACCACATCCCCTGATTTAGGTAAAAGGCAGTATAAATATACCAGGATTATAGGATATGATCACCAGCAAACACTGAGTATAAAGGTCATGAATTAAACGTGTGACCTGTCTGTTCAAGCTTTCTTTGAGCATGTTCATCTGAAAGGGTGCTGGCGTAGAGTGGGCGGTAAGTTAATTTAAGAAAATGCTAAGAAGCAGGAGTTAGGCAGGGAATTGAGGCATTTGGAAGGGAGTGATTATAATGATTGCCCATGGAAGAACTGAAGCTAAGAAAAGAGGGATCTGAGTTCATGGCAAGGTTGAAGGATAATGAAAAGGTGGTAGGATCAATGGATTGCAGGTTCCAGGGGGGATTGAAGGTTTGTTGGTATAGAGGAAGTAATCTGGAAAGGCAAAAGGTGGTTGTTGAAGAGTGGGATGCTTGCAGTTAGGGTAATGGGGGGACTGCAGTGACCGGTAATAACAAGTTTGAATTTGTGACCATGGGAGTGGTAGCTGAGGTTGAATGGAATATAAAAAGGCAATACTGAGAGTGATGAAATAACACCTCCTAAAAGAGAATTTGATTGTCATCATCCTTTATTTTTCTTGGTGCTAAATCCAAGAATACTGTCTTTTACATTAGAATATCAAGAACATCATGGATATAGACAGATTGGAAAAGAAGATTGAGGAATTGTCTAAAACGGAGACAGAGCACCAAGTAAGCGCTTCCCAAATACTGGTAAAATATATATTTTTTTGTCAAACCAATATTATTCTATGAAGATATCTATGCCTCATTGACAAACTAACTTTTGATTATAAATTCTGAAACTTGTAGTCTACAAAATATTTGAGTTATATAAAAATCAGTTTCCTTTTCCTTGTTTTTTTTTTTTTTTTTTTTTTTTTTTTGGCAACTGCTTTACCTTAAGTTTCATCAACTTAAAATATACAAGTCAGTATGTTTTAGTACATTCACAGAGTTGTGCAACCATCACCAGAATCACATTGAAAACATTTTCATCACCCAGAAAGAAATCCCTTTAACAGGAACCACTTCCCATCTTCTCCCCAACCCTAAGCAACCACTAATCTATTGTCTGTCTCTGTAGATGTGTCTCTTCTGGACAATTCATTTAAATGAAGTCATATATGTGGCCTTTTGTGTGTGGCTGATTTCACTTAGCATAATGTTTTTAAGATTCATCCATATTGTAGCATGTATTACTACCTCTTTTTATGGCTGGATAATGTTCTATATGGATATATCACATTTTGTTTGTCCACTCATCAGTTGATGAACGTTCAGGATGTTTTCACTTTCTGGCTATTGTAAATCATCTGCTATGAACATTTGTGTACAAATTTCTCTGTGTACATATGTCTTGATTTCTCTTGGTTGTTGTATATACCTAGGAGTGAAATTACCAGATCACTTGATGTTTCTATGTTTGTTTGTTTATTTATTTATTGAGACAGACAATTTTCTCTTGTTGCCCAGGCTGGAGTACGATCTCAGCTCACTGCAACCTCCTGGGTTCAAGGGATCCTCCTGCCTCAGCCTCCTGAGTACCTGAGATTATAGGCATGCACCACCATGCCCAGCTAATTTTTGTATTTTTGGTAGAGATGGGGTTTCACCATGTTGACCAGGCTGTTCTCGAACTCCTGACATCAAGTGATCTGCCTGCCTTGGCCTCCCAAAGTGTTGGGATTACAGGCGGGAGCCACCACGCCCAGCCTCGTTTCTGTGTTGAACCTTTTAAGGAACTACCAGGCTGTCTTCACAGTGGCTGCATCATCTTGCATTTCACCAGCAGTACATGAGGGCTCAACGTCTCCACATTCCTGCCAAGATTTGTTATTATCTTTTTACATTATATGGCAATTTTTAATTTAATTGTATCTGATTTTATAAATTTCTAAATCAGGAAAATTTTCAAACATTGCACCTTTTTATTTTGTTTTTGTAGTTATTCAACCTCAACCTGAGATATTGTACCTTCTTAATGCTAAAAATGAGGAGGGGAAAAATTTATCCCTGATGAAATTAAGACATTATACCTTACACAAATATTTTTTGTCTAGATAGTGTCTAATTTTGTCTTTATTTCATACATATTTTTGTTATCTGTCGTACATTCTTATCAGGAAACAGATGACAATGACTAGGAAATTCAGGAATTTGTGTCATGCTGATTGTTATCTCTAATGGTTTATTTGAGAAATATTTTGATGTACATGTCTGAAATGATATAGTTACATTTCATATTTATATGTAGAATTTTCCAGTTTCCTAGCAGAAACTAACATTTCATGTGTGTGTTATTTTTACATATTTATATAGAAAACAACAGTTATAATTTAAACATCAAAAATTTTAAAAGTTAACTAATAATTAATTAATTTAAAGACAGGATCTCACTCCGTCACCTGGGCTATGGTGCAGTGGTACGATCATAGTTTTTACTGCAGCCTTGAATTCTTAGGTTCAAGTGATCTTCCCATCTCAAACTTCCAAGTGGCTGGGAATGCACACCACCATGCCCAGTTAATTTATTTTTCAATTTTTTGTATAGATGAAGTCTTGCTGTGTTGCCCAGGCTGATCTTGAACTCCTTGAGCAAGTGAGTCTTCTACTTTGGCCTCCCAAAGCATTGGGATTGCAGCTGTAAGCCACTGTGCCCAGCCTTCTTAGACATTAAAAGTAATTCCACACTAGGAGTGGCTGTCTTTGAAAAACACAACTGTGATGAACTAGTGAAAAGAGCCAGAAGACACGGGTTCAGATCCTGTCTTTCTACTTAAAAATGTTATAACCTCAAGCAAGCTCTAGGTCTAAATTTTCGCATCTAGTAAATGCCTGTGATGTTTCTACCTATTTCACAAGTTTGTTGTAAACTCAGCTGATAATGTGATTATAGCCAGTATATAAGATTACGATGATGAATCTGCTTCTGACCGTGATGATTATTTTTCCAGGTTCTCAATTCAGTCCATATACATATTTATTCATTCTATAATGCATAGCAGCATATGCCAACAAGCTTGCTTTTGATTTGAATAAATGGATATATCCTTTATGTTCACTTACCTAAAAAAAATCTTAAGCATTTTTAAACTATGGTTTTTTTTGTTTGTTTGTTTTTAATTTAAGTTTTAGTTGTAGAGGTGAGAGTCTTACTCTGTCGCTGGGGCTGAAGTGCAGTGGTATAATCACAGCTCACTGCACTTTTGAACTCTTGGGCTCAAACCATCCTCCAGCCTCAGCCTCCCGAGTGCCTGAGACTACAGACATGTGCCACCACGCCAGTCTAAACTGTGTTTTTAAAAGGGGAAGAGTCTTCTGTATGTCCTTATGGAATCTTTGTCTTCATATTCTATGTAGACTTTTAATTTTCACCAAAAAAGTGAAGATTTTGAACATTCCCTTATTATGTTAAGTGTGGAATGGCACTTGGCTGGACCTGTAGACTAGCTTTCTAAGCTCATCTGTACCGTAGACAGTGTGTGACATTGGGTGAGTCTCTGGGTAGTGTGGAGCTTTGGTTTCCTCACTGGTAAAGTGAGACCAATGACTTCTGCCTCTAGAGTTGGATAGGAAAATTCTTTATAAAGTGAAAAATACATACATGTTAAAGGTGCTTCAGAAACACTTTACTGGAATGATTTTATGGCACTGTCCCTTTACCAAAGCAATGTCCCAACAGCCTTCCCTAAATTCGTCTCTTTTCAGATGCAGTTACACACATATGAGAATACTTTGCTTAATAAAGATACAAGTTTGCAGAAGGTTGGTATTGTTCCTTCCCACAAAGGCCCGTGGCATTGGCTAGCTCTCTCCAAAGCATGAAGGAATTGGCCATTTGTTTAACTGCACCCCTACTAAAGGATCTGATTATTTTTATTTTTACATTTTTTTTGGAGATGGAGTCTTGCATTGTTGCCCAGGCTGGAGTGTAGTGGTGTAATCTTGGCTCACTGCAACCTCCATCTCCTGGATTCAAGTGATTCTCCTGCCTCAGCCTCCCGAGTAGCTGGGATTCCAGGCATTTTATCACCATGCCCAGCCAGTTTTTGTATTTTTAGTAGAGACAGGGTTTCATCATGTTGACCAGACTGGTCTTGAACTCCTGACCTCAGGTGATCCACTCCCCTTGACCTCTCAAAGTACTGGGATTACAGGCATGAGCCACCATGCTCAGTCTAAAAGATTGGATTCTGTTATGATGTCATGAGACTTTCCTTTATAGTACTTTATAAAAATAAGTTTGAACATATCTTCTCTAAATTCTGGTGGTGTTAATCCACATATGTGACAAATATTAGTAAGCCAGCCTACCAGTCACTGGCTAGATACCTGTGACATTGTTTTAATTTCTAACAACATAAATGAGCCTGCAGCCATTCATTTTAGGGTGGAAGAATATATACCCAAATTATTTGAAACCTAATTTAATTGATTGATTAGATAGATACATAGATAGATATTATTCTATTTATTCTTGTATCCTGCGATTGTAGGCAAGGATACTTGCTACAATGGTGCTGATTACAGTAGCCTAAGAGAGACGGGAAGGAACACAGCCTAAGTCAATAATCGTCCACAGTCCATGACAAGGAATTGAAGAAAGAATGATATTTGCCAGTCTTCTTTTCCCTGAACATTCTGGAGTTTCAAAGGAAACACGCACACCTTGTAGACTTTGACTGGAATACAGACTATTGTCCTAACTTGATTTCTTCATTGCGGGTGTTCTCTATGTAATGATATTGTGATAATAGTGGCTACTCAGTTCCTCCATGACTCTGGTCTTCCCACCATTCTGCACTCTTGTCCAGCATTCATCAGGTATTGATTGACCATCTGCCATGTGCCAGATGCCATGCTAGCCACGGGATAAAATTAGAGATCAGGTACTCACTACGTGTATCTTTTGGTTTTGTAAAACAAAACAAAGAGGTATCATTAGAACTGGAAAAAATCAGATGTCTTAATTTCATTAGTCATTTGCAAGACTGATTTTTTCTTAAACACATCATGGGCTGGGCGCAGTGGCTCACACCTGTAACCCCAGCACTTTGGGAGGCTGAAGTGAGTGGATCACCAGAGGTCGGGAGTTCAAGTCCAGCCTGACCAACATGGAAACTCCATCTCTACTAAAAATACAAAATTAGCTCGGTGTGGTGGCGCATGCCTGTAATCCCAGTTACTTGGGAGGCTGAGGCAGGAGGTTGTGGTGAGCTGAGATTGTGCCACTGCGCTCCAGCCTGGGCAACATGAGTGAAACTCCATCTCAAAAAATAAAATAAAAATAAAACAGAACACATCATGATGATAAATATAATTATGATTTGGGCTTAGGAATCACCTTTTAGAGTTTGATTCCACTGGGTCAGATAAACACATTGTATTGACACCAGTTACATATTGCTGCCTTTTTGTCCTCGTGTATGTGTGTGTGTGTGTGTGTTTTTTTTTTTTTTTCCTAAGACAGAGTTTTGCTCTTGTTGCCGAAACAAGAGTGCAGTGGTGCAATCTTGGCTTACTGCAACCTCCGCCTCCTAGGTTCAAGTGATTCTCCTGCCTCAGCCTCCCTAGTAGCTGGGATTATAGGCATGCACCACCACACCTGGCTAATTTTAGTAGAGATGGCGTTACTCCGTGTTGATCAGACTTGTCTTGAACTCCCAATCTCAGGTGATCTGCCCGCCTCAGCCTCCCGAAGTGCTGGGATTACAGACGTGAGCCACCGCACCCAGCCATTCTTGTGTGTTTTTAATCACAGACACTGACTGGTTCAGTTTTCCGATAGTGAGACTGGTAGAATTGCATGATGATTGGGCATTTACAGTTCTTTTGTGGCTCACATCAATAGTCTAATAAATAGGATTTGGTGAACCCATTACTTTTTTGCTGTTATTTCTCTCTTCTACTTTTCAGAAAGGCTTATATATAGAAGAGCTTAAATCAACCATCATGGAATATGGAAGCATTATAGAGGTATACCTGTTATTATTATTAATAATGCCACAGCTTGTAAGGTGGGCTTGTTCAATGTAAATTCCCACTAGAGTAACATGTAAAGCGTAATGTGTGCAATTCCAGAATTTACGAGGAGATAAAAATAAACTGGCTCATGAGTTACAGCACTTGCAACAGGACCTCATCAGGTAAGTAGACAGCAGCCCTTGCCAGCCTCCTCTCTTGTGCGTCTACCCTACATTATTGGCCAGTTGAGCTTTGTATGTGCCATCTTATTTTCCTCTATACCTTTGTATGTGATATTTTCCCTATTTGTCTCCGTGAGAACTCCTTTATGAGTTTGCTGTGACTCCCCCACCCACGCCTCCCTGATTGTCTTAGCTCAGACTGCTATGACAAAATGCCATAGACTATGTGGCTTCAACACCGCTCATCTATTTAGTACAGTTCTGGAGGCTGGAAGTCCAAGATCAGGGTGCCAACAAGGTTGAGCCCTAGTGAGGGCCCCCTATGAGGTTACAGATTGCTGACTTATCCTTATTACCAGCGTGGAGGAAAGGCAGCTAGCTAACTCTTTGGCTTCTTCTTCTAAGGACAGTAATCCCATTCATGAGGGCTCACCCTCATAACTTAATTACCTTCCAAGGGTTCTATCTTCAAATACCATCACATTGAGGTTAGGATTTCAATATATGAATTTTTAGGGGGGACACAAACATTCAGTCCATTGTGTTGACTTTCCCTTGCTTTTCCCTTACCCTGGAGTAAGTAACCTTTATTATTATTATTATTATTATTATTATTATTATTATTATTTTTGGAGATGGAGTCTCACTCTGTCACCCAGATTGGAGTGCAGTGGCACAATCTTGGCTAACTGCAACCTCTGCCTCCTGAGTTCAAGCGATCCTCCTGCCTCAGCCTCCCAAGTAACTGGGACTACAGGTGCATGCCACCATGCCTGGCTAATTTTTGTATTTTTAAGAAAGACGGGATTTCACCATGTTGGCCAGGCTGGTCTCAAACTCTTGACCTCATGATTCACCCACCTCGACTTTAGGTGTGATCTTTAGGTGTGAGCCACCACTCCCAGCCTAAGTAACCCTTTTGAATGTGAGCATGGCACCTTGTTCTTGCCTCTTCTCTAACACACATCATCCTGTATGATAATCATTTGTTTCTGAATGTGAGTAATATACTAGTACAGGATGCACAAGAGCAGGAGTCCCAAACTTTTTACACAGGGGGCCAGTTAACTGTCCCTCAGACCGTTGGAGGGCCACTACATACTGCGCTCCTCTCACTGACCACCAATGAAAGAGGTGCCCCTTCCTGAAGTGCGGCAGGGGGCCGGATAAATGGCCTCAGGGGGCCGCATGCGGCCCATGGGCCATAGTTTGGGGACGCCTGCACAAGAGCCACCCAGATAACAAAGATGAGTAAAGTTAATGGAATATGCACACACCTACATTATGCAAATGGCAAAGATGAAAAGTGCATTACCCATATAAAGGCAGAGGGGGCTACTCTGTTTAGCTCCAACTAATTGTGACATCAAAACTGTATGGGCCTAGTTTGGCCACATTTTCTGATTTTGGAAGAAAAGCCAGCAATCGAGATTTTTAAGTGATGTTTTCTGATTTTTAACTGTTGACTCCAATTCTTTTTAAAAATGTGGCTGGTTTGTGACCTCCTAGACTCACTAGTCTGTGCAGCTCCTGGCAGACAGAGGCTATTTCTGACCTCTCTCCATATTCCCAAACACGTTACTTAATCCTTGGCTCACATGGGTGCTGACTGATAGTTGGTGATAAATGAACCCTATATTCTAGAGACTTAAAACGTAATGTTGGAGGTACACCTAACTAGACTCTTGTTTTTATTTTTTCAAGAAATGGGATCCAGTTGAATGTTAGTGGAGAGCATAATAGTATCATCTCTGAAGGAGACAAGTCTTTACATTACGAACTCACTCTTGCTCAGTCTGCAGAGGTAGGTCATTATAATACGATGGAAAGCTTTAAAAAATACCGCATGTGACAGCTTATGATTAAATGAAGGTTTACAGCTTGCTGAAAACTACCAGGGACACTAAGAGAATGTACTGGTAGTACATTCTCTTAGTTTCTGAGCTTGGGGAGAAAAGACCGATTTCAAGTTATGGCCAAAGCTACAGCAAGGTTGAAGGTTTGTGGAAGTATGCATTCAGGGACTTTGAGACTTTAGAAATCTTTATTTTCCTGACAGGACAGACTCCCTGTCCTAATCCCCAGCCTGGGGTCCCAAAGGTAGCAGTGGAGATCCATGAGTTATTTTTTAGAATTTTTCAAACCTTCAAAGTAAATACATTTATCGAAAATAAAGATGCCCATAAACAATACCAAATGTATTTGCTTTAGATTATAATTGTATCCACCCAAATTAATTGATTTTTGCATTCTAAACAAAAACTTACATTTTCTTACATGTGTTTTGGTTAAAGTGGCAAGATGAATTGATTAGTTTAAACAATTTCCATTTGTTTGATAGACCCAGTGCTTTATAACATCGGAAGAAATCGCTTTAAAACCTTCTCTGAGATAAAGACATTCTGACTCCCCTATGCTATATTGTCATTCTTTTGTATTTTCCAGTTTTGTGCTTGTTAAGTTCAGAAACGCTTTATTTAGCAAACTGCTTTCTTTTCACCATTTGATGGTCTCTTCCTATCTGTGGACAATGGATATGTCAGAATGTTCTCCTGTTGACAGCTGTGATGCGACCTTGAAAGGAGAGAAAGAATGCCTTTGGGCAAATGCTGTTTGAATTGCTTCTGCCAAGGATGCAGGGACAACATATGCTGCCTTCATCTGAAGCCGTCTCCGGCAGCCCTGGACATTCTGCTGAGGGCTGTGCTTTCCTAACATTCTGTTTCCAATACTCATCATTTCACTGTGTTTTTGAAACCAAGCCAAACTGCCAGACTGAATGAAACTGTGGCAAATCTGCCACAGCAGTGTGTTTTTATCCTCAGTCCTCTGAGATAATAATGATGTCAAGATGCCAGCCCAGAAAGTTCTATAGTTCTAGAGAGGGGGTTATCCGCCGGCCAAGTTCTGGCTCAGAGGTTTACCCACTGATGAGTTAGGAAGTTTGTCTTCTAACTAGAATCTTGAAATAAGAGTCCTGTGATCTTTTCAACAGACAGCAAAAAGAAGGCTTGGGTCATATATTTAAAATATGACAGGAGACAGAAACTTTGAGAGACGTATGGGGAATGTACTTTGTGAAGCATCATATGGTTTTTGATGAACTGGAGAGACAAAAGAAGCCAACCTGTTTTTAGTGGGATTGATTGAGCAGCCCTCCTCCACCAATTTCTTCCCCCTGGGTATTGCTTTACGTATTTTTATGTTAAAATGAGAGCCATAACAGTTTATATCATCCGCATGTAGATGTTATCTATTGATAAATGAGTTTTCCTTAAGACAGAATAAATGTTCAGTTGAAGCTGTCCTAGAGAGAAAATGTCAGCAGTTTTTTAGGATGTAGGAGAATTCCACAAGACTGTTGAGAACCAAACGACGATGACAATTACCTTAACTCATGAGCATCGTTTTTGTTAAGTAAAAATAATAAATGTTCTTTATTCAGATAGCAATTGTGGGCATTTCTATGGCTGTTTCAGAACAATGAAACTGAAAGGCAGCACAATGTAATCAACTTGTCATCTCTGGATGCCATGGTGGATCAAGAAATGCTGCTGTTACTAAGAGAGCCTGAGCCAAAAGGAGTGGAATTCACAGCCACGCTTCAGAAGCTGGTATCGTATAACATACCTGTATCGTGGTGTTCCACTTTGCCTGGGGATATCTGCAGATAACTGACCTGCAGCCTGTTTGCTGAGTCCAAATGTATCTGTGTGCTGGTGAGACCCAACTTAATACACTCTGAAAAGCGAAGGTTTTTCTCAGCTCTCTGAAGCTGGCCTTTTAGTTCTGGGCCAATCAGGGCTAACAGATTGACCATTAGATATGGATTTTTTGAGTTTATTTTTTCCTGTGGGCTAATCTTTAGTATCAAAGGGCTGAAGACTTGGTATGTATTGACCAGTTTCCTCCTTTTACTTCTCTTCTGGTTAATGGCTGGTATTTCTTCCTCCATTTTGATTTCTCACTGGAAATGCTAGATGACTCAAGAAATCAGAGAACAACATATTCGTACTGGTATTGCCAGTCACTTTCATAGTGCCTAGCAGATAGTAGGTAGCATTTAGTTTGGTGAATGGTAAACACAAGTGAAAATGGTTGTTTTCTTCTATTTAAAAAGATAGGTTTTGTTCTAGAAAATGATTCTCTCTGTACATATTCAACATGTTTAGAGCACCTGATGAATATGTACACAGGGCAACATCCTGGAATAAAAGAAAGTCACAGGAGGCATTAGATGCAAAGGAATGTAGTCTGGTATTTTCCTGAGTTACCTGTATAGTAGAACTTTGGTCTCAATGGATTCTGATTTTAGCATATGACTTTCATCTAAATTCCTAGTTGACGTTGTGGAACTCTTTTTTCAGCATGAAGAAATTTCTAAAATTGCAACCCTCATTGAAAGCTCTCAATGGTGGGTAACTAATCCAGAAATTACTGTGAACGAAAAGTGGGAGGAACAGCTTACTGTAAGTGTTCTATATTTTGTGATTTTCCTGGTTTTTCTTCTACTTTGTTAAGCCAGGTAATAATATATACAGTACCCTTTCTAAGACTTTATTGTGGTCTTCTGCAGTCTGAGTCTGATGAGTGTAGAGTAAGTGTATGAGTGTGAGGGTAAGGAAAGAATGTGAAGGAGAGTGAGTGTGCAGATATGTGAGATGTAATGGAGAGACAAATAATCAGATGATTTAATGAAAAACTGCATTTATATCCTTGTGAGAATTAGCTAGTCTAAGCTTAGATTTTTCCTTAGCCTGTTAAAATTGCCTAACTTTGAAACAATAATTATTGTATAAAAGAACCTTATTCTTGAGACTTGGACAGTTTTATTGTCTCAGAAACTTGCAGAACATTGGAAAAACAGGAACTTCTTAGGTAGCTATTCCCAGCTTTATTAGAAAGGAAGCATATGAGAAGGTAGATATCTCTTTCATCTCTCCACCTATTTACCTCTACTTCTTGACTGCCAGCTACTTTCCAGCATCTATCAACCCCTTAAGATAAAGAAAAAAAAGTAAACTCTGGAATATGGTTTCAACCCCTTTGCCAGTCTGTTTTTTTTTTTTTTTTTTTTTTTTTTTAGATGGAGTCTCACTGTTGCCCAGGCTGGAGTGCAACAGTACGATCTTGGCTGACTGCAACCTCTGCCTCCTGGGTTCCAGTGATTCTCTTACCTCAGACTCCTGAGTAGCTGGGATTATAGGCATGTGCCACCACACCTGGCTAATTTTTGTATTTTTAGTAGAAATGGGGTTTCACCATGTTGGCCAGATTGATATCAAATTCCTGACTTCAGGTGATCCATCCACCTTGGTCTCCCAAAGTGCTGGGATTACAGTCAATCTGATTTTTTAAAGATTGCATGTGAATATAATAATCAACAAAGATGGATATTATTGCATTATCTTGTCTCATCCTGTTCTAAAGCAATTGTGATGATGGCTGAAGTTATCAGGGACTAACTTAAGAAAAAGAAAGTAAAGCTCAGTTTTAGGGGCACAATAGACACTACATACTTGTTACGTTGACATAATCAACCAATAGGATAGTCAGTCTCTGGGCAATTGAGAACTGGTATTCATTGACATACAAGTGAGAGTTGGTATTAATTGACATACAATTTTGGCATCCAGTATGCCATTGAGATAGAATGTCTGCAGCATTTTAGATTGCCTCTGTCATTTGTCCGCTTTTAACATTGGAGTACTGGGGTTTGTCCTGTGACTTTTCTTGTAGGAATTCAAGCATATCATGGAAGAGAAACTAAATCTTTGTATTTTAATGCTGAACATCTTGGGAAACCACAAAGAGTCTCTTGATAAAGAATTTGACAAGTTAATAGAGATTTTGAAGAGATTCAGACAGGAATATTTTTATTTCAGAAAAGAATTTCTTGCCAGGTGATGAACATTTATATATAAGAAATCCATGCTTAATATACACGACATGTTTATGATTGTGCCACTGCATTGTTTACTTTCTGAAAGTTGTATGTATTGATTTCAGATGATACTTTTTTCCAGAGAAGACATTCTGTTTGACAATTCTGAAGTGTAAAACAGTGTGAAATTGACTTACATGTTCAAAATTGCAGATAACGAACTACAAAATTTGTGGAAACTGGCCGGGCATGGTGGCTCACGCCTGTAATCCCAGCACTTTGGGAGGCCGAGGCAGGTGAATCACCTGAGGTCAGGAGTTGGAAATCAGCCTGGCCAACATGGTGAAACCCCATCTCTACTAAAAATACAAAAATTTGCCAGGTGTAGTGTGTATGCCTGTAATCCCAGCTTCTCAGGAGGCTGAGGCAGGACAACTGCTTGAACCCAGGAGGCAGAAGTTGCAGTGAGCCGAGATCATACCACTACACTCCAGCCTAGGCGACGGAGTAAGACTCCATCTCAGGAAAAAAAAAAAATGGTGAAAACCAGTATAATGATTTATTTTTTCCCTAGAGAAAGAATTTGGAATTATGAAATATAGTCTTTTATCAGAAGAATCCTTAGAGATCCTCTAGTAATCTCATGATTTTACAGAGGACTAAGGCATGAGGAGATAAAGTTGAATTGACTAAGGCCTGAGAGTGATTAATCAAAGCTCTGGAACTTGAAGCCAGGTCTGTTGGCTCCTCCCCACTGGGTTTTATGTTTGACCTTAGTAAATGCTGTATCACATTGGGCACTGGGCAACTAAATGTCAGTTAAATGAGTCATAGGGAATAGATAATAACAAATATAAAATAATTTACCTTCTTTTCCTTCCTTTACCCTCAATTCTTATCATAATGGGGAAATTATCGTAATTTTTACACTCTAGAAACCATAAGCACAGTGATTTTATCTTTTGTTAACCACCATTTATATAACTGCTAGGGCCATACTTCGCACTCTCTTAAGGAATGCTTTTTGAGTGAATGAGCAAATGAACATGGGTATATATTGCACTTGAACAAAATTTTAAACTGTAGTTAAAGACTGAGGTAAACTTGAAGAAAATAGCCAGAAAAAACTATTTTATTCCTCCCAAATATAAGGAAACTAGATACCAGAGAGAGGTAATACCAGAAGGAACTCTCAAGAAAATGATCTTCTGCTTTCCCTAAGAAGCAGAGAGCCCACACTTCCCTGTAGCGGTAAAAGACATGGGCTGAGCGGACATGCAGCTTCCTTAAGCAGATACCATCTCCATGAAAGGGAGCGTCAACATTCTTCTATTTAGCAACAAAGAACTATTTGGAGAGAGGTCTGCACTAATGTCATCTCGAAATGAGTGAATCTTCCGTATTATCCTACTTAAACCTACAAGCAGCCCAGTTAAATAACAGTAGGTGTCATTTGTCTAGAAGCTACTGTGTCAGATGTAGTGCTAAGAATTTGACATATATTTATCTCCAGAGAGGTTTCCTAATTTGCCCAAGGTCACCCAGCTGGGATTAAGTGATAGCTGGGATTCAGACTTAGTTCTGTCTGACTTCAAAGCCTGTATTCTAGACGGTTAACCCCCCACCATCAACTTGTTAAATCTGATACAAGATGCTTTAAAAATATTCTGGAAACCTAGCATTGGGAAAAATACTCCTTGCCAGCATAAGATGGTTATAACCTCTGGCTTCTGGACACAATTTAAAACTGACAAAGCCGCATAAAGGCTACACACAAAATAATTTGACTGGAGATTTTAACTATGAATAAGTAAATAGCTGGGTGCCCTGGCTCATGCCTATAATCCCAGTACTTTGGGAAGACAAGGCAGTAAGATGGCTTGAGCCTGGGAGTTTGAGACCAGCCTGGGCAACATAGCAAGACCCTATATCAAACAATTTTTTTTTTAAATGAGCTGGATATGGTGATGCATGCCTGCAGTCTCACCTACTTGGAAGGCTGAGGTGGGAGAATTGCTTGAGCCCAGGAGTTGGAGGCTACAGTGAGCTATTGTGCCACTGCACTCTAGCAGCCTAGGAGACAGAGAAAGACCCTACCTCTTTAGAAAAAAGAAAAGAAAATGAATGGAGTGTTTTGCGGGGATGAGACAGAATTCTGTTTACATGAGGTAGGAAATGTTTATTAAAGGTACATTTTGGGGGGCTGTTTGCTGAGGAGGAGAAGGCTCCCATTCTGCTGTGGGGTAAATAGGCTCTAGTGCTGAAGAATGGAAAGATTTGAATGGTCCAAATAGAGGCATGGACAGAAAGGAGTGCTCTCAGAAGGCTTGGCAAGGAAAGTAGGACTTGATTTATACAATATCCATCTGGGTGTCTGCTATTTGCCTGGCTTCCACCCCTTCCGCAACCCCAGGTGCTAAGGAATTATAGGAAACAAGACAGGAATCTCTGCCTCTATGAAACAAACATCTAATAAAGGATGCAAACAGCAAATAGATAGACATATAATGTCAGGGAGTGGTATGGAGAAAATTAAAGCAGGTTAAGAAGACAGAGAGTGACAGGGAACAGGACAACCTAAATTTAGAGAGAATAGCCAGGAAAATCGTGCCTGAGGAGTGATGAATTGAATGGAGAGCTGAGTGCGGCAAGAGAGTGAGCTATGTGACAATCCTGGTGTGTTCCAGGCAGAGGAAGTAGCTGGTGCAGAGATCCTGAGGTTGTAGTAAGCTTGGTGTTTTCGAGCAGCAGCAAGAAGCCGGCATGGCTGGGGCAGGACAGAGGCTGGGTAGTGGTAGGATGTGGGACCAGAGGGATAGAAGGGGCCAGGCCACACACAGCTTTTGCAGTTCATGTTTAGGAGTTAGGCTCTTATTAAGCGTGATGAGAAGCCATTAGAGGATTTTGAGCAGAGAAGAAATGTGATTTGTGTTTTTCTTTTTTTTTTTTTGTTTTTATTTTTTGTTTTTTTGTTTTTTTTTTTTTTTTTGGTGTGATTTGTGTTTTGAAACATCTGCTAGATGAAGAAGTATTTACAGAAGGCAAAAGTGAAAGCAGTGAAACCAGTGAGAAGAGTTTTTCTTTTCTTTTTTTTTTTTTTTTTCAAGACAAAGTCTCACTCCATCACCCAGGCTGGAATACAGTGGCATGATCTCAGCTCACTGCAACCTCTACCTCCTGGGTTCAATCTTCACCTCCTGGGTTCAAGCAATTCTCCTGCCTAAGATTCCCAAGTAACTATGTGCCACTATGCTCAGCTGTTTTTTGTATTTTTTTTTTTAATTTTAATTTTTTTTAGTAGAGAGGAGTTTTGCCATGTTGGCCAGGCTGATCTCAAACTCCTCATCTCAAGTGATCTGCTCGCCTAGGCCTCCCAAAGTGCTGGTATTATAGGCATATGAACCACTGCACCAAGCTAGAGAAGAGTTTTTCAACAAAAGATAACCATTTAGAGATTCTGATATCAACTTACTGGCTCATGACCTATTTTTTTTAAATAAATGAGATATAAAATAATAGAGTGCATTACATATAATAAGTAGTGCTGAATTGAATTTTTGTTTCAGCCACATGTGTGTATGTGTATTCGTTTGTTTGTATACTGAGTTGAAATATAAAATATTTCATTATCAAAAAGTTATAGAGTTAGGAGCTACTATGGTAGTCCGGGTGAGGGATGTACTGTGGGCCAGGGTAATAGTCGTGGAAGTGGTAAGAAATGATTAAATTCAAAGTGTATTTCTGAGGGTGGATCAGATCAAACAAACATGCTGGCAAGTTGTATGTGTGGAGTGCAAGAAAGAGAGGAGTCATCCTTGACTCAGAGGCTTTTGATCTGAAAACCAGGTAAATAGTGTGCTAGTTCGATAGCAAAGTCTGAGAAAGACTTGCCATTAGAATGTGTTTGCAGGGAGAATTGTTGGATTTAAACACGCACACAAGCTCATATATACCTCTTTACATGACAATAAAATTTCTGTGGGAGAAAAGTCTTCAAAGGTTCATCATCTGTTGAATATCTTTAACAGATGGTACCATCTAATATTTTTAAAAACTTGTTTCTAAGACTTATGATTCATAAAATTCATAAAACATGTTCTACTGGTGAAAATACATATAAGTGAAAGTATTAGTATTAATAAATATGAATTTATGATGGTCCTTAAAGTCCTTTTGCTTTCTCTTGGAAAATAATGGACACTCTTGAGAATATAGATTATTCCTGGAAAAGAGAAAGATAGATAAAAGTGATGTCTTTAAAATAAAAAAAATAAAAAAAAAAAGAGGCGTGATTCCAACAAGATGGTGGAATAGGAAGCTCTGAAGCCTCTTCTCCAGGAGCGCACAAATTCAACAATGATACATGAACAAATTTCTATTGCGAGAAACCCAGAAACTAGTTGAGAGGCTCCCGAATCCTCAGTGAGCATGAAACCAGCTTCATCAAGGCTGGAAAATTTGAAGAATCCTCATCATAATCCTAAACCCAGCTCAGTGCCATGTCAATGGAAAGAAAACTCCAGCTCTTAGTTTCTCCCTAGTATGGTCAGGTGGGGAGGAGAATAAGATACCAGCTTTTGTTTCACTTGTCTTGTAGTGCTAAGGGGACCTGGCATACTCTCGATGCCTGGATACAACTGAAAACAAAGAAGGTAGTTTGCACTAGTATGCATGTACTTGCTGGAGCCCCTACTCCCAGCTGAGTGAAAAGCAAGCAGATGAAAAACCTAGAGCTCAGCTTCTCTCCAGGGGTAAAAGGATGGAAGAGTTGGACTATGCATCTGATGTTTCAGTTTTTCTGGTTGCTGCCCAAAGAATTCACTTCTGTCTTACCTGTCTCAGAGTACTATGAGACCCAGCATGCTCTAGATGCCTGAGGGTTGCTAGAAACAAAAATGGTGGTTTGGATTAGTGTGAATGTTTGAGAGACAACCCCCACCCCTGGCCCCCAGAATCTCTTCCTGAATTGATTAAGGGTTTTCTCCCTTATGAGACCAGTATGTGAAGACAGGGAGAATTGGCTATTTTTTCTAATGCATGGTTAAAAAGAAACAAGGAAAATAAAGAAGTAGGAAAGTATGTTGCAAACAAAGGAACAAAATAAATCTCTGGAAACTGACTAATGAAACAGATAAATGGCTTACCTAACAGAGAATCCCATAAAAATGCTCAGTGAGATCGGAAGAACAATGCCTGTGCAAAGTTAGAATTTTAGCAAAGAGAAAATACAAACACAGAATGCTGTAACACTGTAATGGTGCCATGGTGATTTGCTGCACAAATAAACTCATCAGCTGGTATTAAGGCCAGCATCCATTTGCTGTTCTTCCTGAGGCTCTCCCTTTCCACCTGCTTGACAGGCTCCAGTGTGTGTTGTTCCCCCCACCATATGTCCATGTGTTCTCATCATTCAGCTCCCACTTATAAGTGAGAACATGTGGTATTTGGTTTTCTGTTCCTGTGTTAGTTTGCTGAGGATAACAGCTTCCAGCTCCATCCATGTCCCTGCAAAGGAAATTATCTCATTCCTTTTTATGGCTGTGTAGTATTCCATGGTGTGTTTGTATCACATTTTCTTTATCCAGTCTGTCACTGATGGATATTTTGGTTGATTCCATGTCTTTGCTATTATGAATAGGGCTGCAATGAACGTATGCATGCATGTATATTTATAATAGAATGATTTATAGATCTTGACAGAGGCAGAAATACCATTTGACCCGGCAATTTCATTACTGGGTCAAATGGTATTTCTGCCTCTGTCTAGATCTTTGGAGAATTACCACACTGTCTTCCACAATGGACGAATTAATTCATACTCCCACCAATAGTGTAAAAGCATTTCTTTTTCTCTGCAACCTCACTAGCATCTGTTGTTTTGGGGGGAGTTTTAATAATTGCCATTCCAATTGGCATGAGGTGGTATCTTATTGTGGTTTTGATTTGCATTTCTCTAATGATCAGTGAGGTTGAGCTTTTTTTCATGTTTCTTGGCCACATGAATGTTCTCTTTTGATAAGTGTCTGTTCATGTCCTTTGCCCACTTTTAATTATTTATTTATTTATTTATTTGAGACAGGGTCTTGCTCTGTTACTCAGGCTAGAGTGCAGTGCTGTGGTCTCAATCTCGGCTCACTGCAACCTCCATGTCCCAGGCTTAAGTGATTCTTCTGCCTCAGCCCCCCTGAGTAGCTGGGACTACAGGTTTGTGCCACCATACCTGGCTAATTTTTGTATTTTTAGTACAGGCAGGCTTCCACCATGTTGGCCAGGCTGATCTCGAACTTCTGACCTCAAGTGATCTGCCCACCTCAGCCTCCTAAAATGCTGAAATTACAGGTATAAACCACCGTGCCCAACTTGCTCACTCTTTAATGGGATTGTTTTCTTCTTGTAAATGTGTTGAAGTTCCTCGCAGATTCTGAATATTAGATCTTTGTCCAAGGGATAGATTGAAAAAATGTTCTCCCATTCTTTAGGTTGTCTGTTCACTCTGATGATAGTTTCTTTTGCTGTGCAGACACTGTTTAGTTTAATTAAATCCTGTTTTTTAATTTTGCTTTTGTTGCAATTGCTTCTGGTGTTTTTGTCATGAAATCTTTGCCCCTGCCTTTGTCCTGAATTGTATTGCCTAGATTTTCTTCCAGGGTTTTTATAGTTTTGGGTTTTACACTTAAGTCTTTAATCTTTCTTGAGTTAATTTTTGTATAAGGTCTGAGGAAGGGACCCAGTTCAATTTTTGGCATGTGGCTAGCCAGTTCTCCCAGCACCATTTCTTAAATAGGGATTCCTTTTCGCATTGCTTGTTTTTGTCAAGTTTGTCAAAAATCAGACGGTTGTAGGTGTACAGCCTTATTTCTGAGTTCTGAATTCTGTTCCATTGGTCTATGTATCTGTTTTTGTACCAGTGACATGCTATTTGGTTATTGCAGCCTTGTAGTATAAAGTCAGGTAGCGTGATGCCTTTAGCTGTGTTATTTTTTCTTAGGATTGTCTTGGCTATTCAGGTTCCTATGAATTTTTAAATAGTTTATCCAATTCTGTGAAGAATGCCAAAGGTAGGTTAATGACAATAGCATTGAATCTATAAATTACTTTGGACAGTATGGCTATCTTCATGATATTGATTCTTCCTGTCCATAAGCAGGAATGTTTTCCCATTTGTTTATGTCCTCTCTGAATTCTCTTGAGCAGAGGTTTGTAGTCCTCCTTGAAGAAGTCCTTCACTTAAGGGGTTACTATTTAGAAAATATAAGGAACCCCTACAACTCAAAAACAAAAAAAAACCCCACAAATAACTAGATTTTAAAATAGACAAAAGACGGATATTTCTCAAAAGAAGACAATAAATGGCCAACAGGTGTACAAACAGATGTTCAACATCACTAATCATCAGGAAAATGCAAGTTGCGACTCTAATTAGATATTGTCTCATACCTGTTAGGATGGCTGTTATTTTTAAAAGATGAGTGTCGGCAAAGATGTAGAGATATCGGAGCCTTAGTGCACAGTTGGGAGAATGCACAGCCACTATAGAAAATGTTACCGAGTTTTCTCAAAATATTAAAAATTAAACTACCATCTGATCTAGGAATCCCACTTCTGGGTATTTATCCAACAGAATTAAAGTCAGGATCTGGAGAAGCTATTTGCATTCCTATATTCATTGCAGCATTATTCTCAATGGCCAAGATTTGGAAACAACCTCAGTGTCCACAGATGATTAAAGAAAATTTGGTATATAAATATAAGGGAATGTTATTCAGCCTTTAAAAAGAAGGAAATTCTACCACATATGACAACATGGATAAACCTGGAGGACGCTATCCCAAGTAAAATAAGCGAGTCACAAAAGAGCAAATACTGCATGATCCCACTTATCTGAGGTATCTAAAACAGTTAGACTCATAGAAGTAGAGAGAAGAATGGTGGTTGCCAGAGGCTAGGGGGAGGGGGAAATGAGCTGCTACTCAATAGGTATAAAGTTTCAGTTATGCCAGATGAAGATGTTCTAGAGATCAGCTGTACAACATTCTGTCTATGGCTAATAATACTGTATTGTACACTTAAAAATGTAAGTGGGTAAATCTGTTAAATGTTCCCACCACCATTAAAAAAAAAAAAAAAAAGACAACTTTAAGCTATTGAAGGATGCTCAGTGGAATGTGTGGTGATGTAGGCAGTCCTTAGTTTTGCTTAGGAGTTTGTTTGCTTGTTTACCAGTATGGTAAGCATTCTGTGAGAGCATTCTTGCCTCCCATGTGGTTCTTCTTGGAAACAGGGCTGGATTTGTGCCAGTGTGCAGTGGGATTCTGACTAAATGTTAACATTTGAGAGGCATGCACAAGGCCTGGAGCTGACAGTGTCTTCCTTGTTGTTTTGCAACTCCCAGCATGTATCACCACTCTGAGTTAGGGTCCGTATTCAAGTCAAATTGTTTCCAGGTAATCACTGATGTGCTGACATGTAACACATGTTAAATAATCTCATCTGCTAACAGAGAGTAAGTGCATTTTTATGTTTTGGAGATTAGAATTGGATCCAAATGAGGTGTAAGGTAATGACACTGTGAGGTCTGTGGTGGGGGAGCGTGGTGGGGAGAAGAGCTTCAGCAAAAAGAGGACTAACGTAGAAGTATCAACCGCCAGTTTGCATCTGTGCCCGGGGGCGGTCCTTCCTGTGCTCGTGGCACATGTGTATAGTATGATTGACAGCCCTTAAGGAGAAAGGCTAAGGTCATGAAACAAAGCTCTTTTCTTTTTTTTCTCTTTCTTTCTTTTTTAATTATACTTTAAGTTCTGGGATACATGTGCAGAATGTGCAGGTTTCTTACATAGGTATACACATGGCATGGTGGTTTGCTGCACCCATCAACCCATCATCTGCATTAGGTGTTTCTCCTAATGCTATCCCTCCCCTAGCTCTCCACCCCCTGACAGGCCCCAGTGTGTGATGCTCCCCTCCCTGTGTCCATGTGTTCTCCTTGTTCAGCTCCCACTTATGAGTGAGAACATGCGGTGTTTGGTTTTCTGTTCCGGTGTTAGTTTGCTGAGAATGATGGTTTCCAGCTTCATCTCTCTTTCCTTTTCTTTTCCCTCCCCACACCTTTTCCACATTCCTTTCTTTTTCTGCAAAGGCTAGTTGTGATATGTACATATTGCACCTGTCACCCTGACCTCTTTGTAGAGCCATCTTCTGAACAACTGGCAACTGATGCTAAGTGCTATAAATGCAGCTTGTGGGAAGGGAGCACACCAGTATAAAAGGTGAAACTAGACGTCCTTATCTGTAAAGTGAGGGTGGCAGGCTAAACAACCTATATGCTTTGCTTAAGCTTTTATATTTGTGAAGCATTTATATGTAAATGCTTTCACTTTTTCCTCTGATCTCTAAGGAAGTGGTATTAAGTTTAAATTTGTTGCAGTTTCACAGGGTGACTCTTGGTTGAAATGTCACTGACAACTTGCGGTTTGGACTTTTTTTTTTTTTTTTTAACTCCAGTCAGAAACAACTAGAAGCCATTAAACAACTGCAAGAAGATGCTGTGAAGCAGGAAGGCATCCTTAGAAAGAGGCTCCAAGAAGCCAGCCAATGGCTGGAGGATGCGGAGAAGCAGGTAGGGTGGCTCATGGCTACGTTAGATTCACGGGACGTCTCCTCAGATGCCCTGAAAACCATGAAATGAAAACGCAGGAGGAACAACAGCAACAAACAACAAAAAGCAAAGAGGAACTGCAAGTTCAGTCCCTAGCCACTAGCAGTGAGCAGAGGAAGTAAAGGGGGAGTTGTAAGAGAGGCGGTGTCAACAGCCTGCTGATGAAAGAGGCGACTCTGCAGAAAGAGGCAACTTGACATATCAGGACTTTAACCGCTGTAGAAATAGCTCAGGCATACCAAGCCCATGCAAACACAGAATTGCAGAAGTTCAGGAGAGGCTTATCACTTCCCTGAGAAGAAAAACACATTTTCAGTTTTGCCTACATCATAAGAGTGAGCACTCAGTTGCTTTCTTTCCTGGCCACACTGCTAGAATCCAGTATTAACTATCCATATCCAGGTTAAGGATCGAGAGCGAGAAGCCCACTCTGCCAGTGAAAAAGCTACGTCTTTACGGCATAAATTAGAGGAAGCAATTTGGGAACAACGGAACCTTCAAACTATAAATACTGAGTTATCGAACACTTGCCAGACACTTCAGCAGAAGACAAGGAAACTGAAAAGTGAGTAGCAAATATTCATTTATGCCCCAGTTTTTGTCCACCCTGAGGCGGGGCATAGGACTTCAGACATTTTTCTAGATTGCAGCTAGGATATTATTCATGAATTTATGGCAATGAAATGGTTTGAGAAGGCAGTATTGTGGGGCTTTAAGAGAGGTTTGCTGAGTAGCTAGGTACATGCATGGGTTTAACCACTAACTTTCCTTTTTGCTTTTTTATTATGAGCTGGTTTTGTCTATGGCTGTTTTTTCTTTTAAAATTAAACTTCTCAATATTTCTAAAAGTAAACAAGGAGAAAAATCAAGTATGCATGGTATATTTGAACTTTCAAGTTGTTATACAGTATACTCTGATTTTATTAGCTAATTTTTTCCTCTCATATGGTAGAAAGGCCTTGCCCCTCTATTTTCTTTGATAATTTTAGGGGATTAGGCAAAATAATTATGAATTCAATGTGTATCAAAGTACTGAACATGTGTGAACATTCTTTTAAAATTTTAATGCACTCTCTACATATTTTGCATTTTAAAAATTGGAATATTGTCATTTTGCTGTATTACCCAAAAGTGTATAAGCATTTACCAGGGATTTATGTGAGAAGACAATTGTCACATTACAGATGTCAGATTAACTATGAAATTGTTTCATTCTAGAAACATGGTATGGTAAAAATAAACCTGACTTATTTTAGCCATTTATCAGACAATTGCTTTTGTTCGGCCAGTTTCTTGTTCCAGCAGGATAAATGTTCTTTTTATAGAAAGTTATTTGGTTTAAGTAATAACAACTAAATATAAGCTTAAGGTAGGCTAGAGATTAAAAATTTCAGACTTGTATTTGTTTTGGATTTTATCTGAGAAAACTATTTAGGAATTTAAGAAATAGTCTAGTTTTAAAATAGCAATGGTTTGCCAGGCATGATGGCTCACCCCTATAATCCCAGCATTTTGAGAGGCCGAGGTGGGCAGATTGCTTGAGCTCAGGAGTTTGAGACTAGCCTGGTCAACATGACGAAACTTCATCTCTACAAAAAACATAAATAAATAATAAATAAAATGTTAGAATAGCAATGGTTATTTAGCATATTGTTGTTATAATTTTTAAGCCTTTGTGAATTTGCCAGTTTTAATAATTCTAAATATTTATTTTGATTCACTCTTTATGCTAGTAAGGCAGTCTTTAAATTACATAGTCTGTGTGTTATTTTACTGCTGCTCAGAGCGCACCGGAGAGTGTTCCCTGGTGATTAGAATATACACGTCAAGACACGAATCACAAGGCATTCCAAAGTTGGTTTAAGGTGTGTCTGCTTTAGACACTGTGCTCAGGACTATTCTTTTGCTCCAGTTTTGCCTTTTGATTAAAACTTAAGTTTTATAAACTGCTAGGAATTTGTTCCCCTTCCTCACTGTGATTTTTCTTGCAGTATTTTCTTAGAAGAGTCCACTTTTATAACTTATCTCAAAGTGTACGTTCTTGAAATTATGGACTTGCTATTGTCTTCCCAGTTTACCTTAGGGCATAATAGGTCCAAATATACTTAAAAGCAGAATTACGAAAGCTGCCCTGAGTTGATACATGTATTTTTTTTCCGCCTGGATAAAGTAGAGTGGACACTTCCTTTCTGTACTGAATTATTCATAACCTGTCCAGATTCATGAAATTCTTGATCTGTTAGTTACTTGTATCTTTTGCTGCGCAAAGAACCCATACAAATCAGGATTTTGCTCGTATGACCATTTGCTTACGATCTTTCTAACAGTGCCCTTTAAATTCAGCCTTTGAGAGAAGAGGGAAATTTAGAGAGCACATATTTTCAAAATGTTCTATATAGCAGATGTTCCAGATAGACTGTGAACAAATGTCAATGAGGTAGCAGTTATCACACAAACACATCCACACACATCCCACCATGACCACTGCCACCCCATGCTGTTTGAGTTCTGAGTCAGACGTCTGAATTCTGAGTCAGAAAACAAAACGTATTTAAATCTATTTAGTTTTTCTGAACCTCTCTGGCTAGTTTAATAAATTCACAAAGTATTTCAGACAGTTGTCTTCTGCTCCATCTAAGCTGCATCAGCACATTGTGTGGGGAGGCAGTTGGTTTGTCCAAATGTTCAGATCAATGTACATAATGTTCACAGACCAGAACTGGAAATGTATACATGACATTTGATCGGAAATTCTGAACTTTATATTGAATAAATAATATTGTTCAAGTTCCAATTGCCATCAGGACTGGCCTGGTTTATGAGGCAATTCACGTGCATGATATCCTTCAAGAAATGTGCCATGAAAACTGTTCGATTTCTTGAAAGGTTACTTATGTATTTTCTTTCTTCTGCTTCTAAACTTTGTTTATATGTAAGTATGTTGTTAATATATGCATGACTGGATTACAATTGGTGTTTTATTTAAAAGGAACATTTTAAAAGCTTATAGGATGAATATATAACATATTAGGGTGAATCTTATGTGCAGAAATCATGGACTAATATAATCCAAAACTATCACCTCTTTACTATTCACCATCTCCTGTTCCCATCTCACATGAAATCATGGAGTCAGTCTTCTAATAGACAATGAGAGAACTACCTTTAAGAACCATAGATTTTTCCATGAAAAGAGATCCTGGGAAGCTCCTATATAGCATAATTTCTTATTTGAACATAGTATCTGCACCTTAACTTCATAGTTTAGAGAAGACTTTCACCTAGATGCTATCACTGCAAACACTCTTCTAGCTTGCTATTCTTAGCATGGAGGGTGCAAGGTTTGGGAGAGGTAAAAGCGTTAGGGCTTGGAGCATGGATGCAAGATGAAAGCCTTCTGTCCTAAGCAGTCAGTAAACAGGAGGGAAATGATCCAAAGAAGGTGGGGGCATGGATCCAGGTGATTGAAATACTTAAAGATAGAAGGTTTTGGGGTGACAGCCAAGGAGAAAACCAAAGCCAAATACAGCTTGCTCAACAACTCTGATGGAGTGGGGACCCAAGATTTCCCAAATGAAAAATGCAGATATGGAGAAGTTATCTGGGAAGTATAGGATAATGATTAAGAACATGGGATTTGACATTAACAAACCTATGTTCTCACGCAAAGTCTGCAATAGTGGCTGGGTAAAGTTGAGCAAATCACATTGCCTCTCTGAGCTTCTGTATCCTCTTCTTTTAAATGCAATTGTTGTGAATTATTAAATAACATCATAAATGAAAAATAGTAGCTAATGCTTGGCCATAGTTGTTGTGTTTGTGTTCTGCTAGAACACATTTCTGTAACGTGAATCATCTCATTTGTGATTTGTAAATGGGAAATGTTGCGGTTATATAGTATAGAAGTTATTTTATTCACTATTTTCTTGGGACTTGGATCTGGATTGGTAGGAATGGAACTCTCACCTCCCTCAGGAAAGAAAAAATCCTTAGCTTGCTGCTGAACAGGCAACAGGAACCCTTTCAGCTTTATTTTGAGAATGTTAAAAATAAGTATCTGCACCTAGGCCTCCCTCCCCAGAGCCACTCAACCCCAGCCTTATAGAGCCCCGGTTTGTGTCAGATCACACTCCCTCCTGTGTTCACCTTGTTAGCCTCGCTGTCTCCATCTATTGCTGTCTCCACCTGCATGTGTCTTTCACCCATCAACACTTTTTCATTGAAGCATCATCAGCATTTCCACTCTCTTGCTTTTGTGTATTTCTGATATCCTGTGAGGCATTTAAAGATGCAGGTCTGAGTGATGCATGTGATCTCTTAGTACTAATAATTTAATAATTGTGTTTGTTAGTACTCTGGTTACAATGTTGCACATATAGACAGGTAGGTAGGTAGGTAGGTAGATTTTTTTTTTTTTTTTTTTTTTTGGATACAGGATCTAACTCTGTCACCCACTCTGGATTATAGTGGTGGGATCATGGCTCACTGTAGCCTCAATCTCCTGGGCTCCAGCAATCCTCCTACCCCAGACTCCTGAGTAGCTAGGACTATAGGTGAGCACCACCAGGTCCAGCTAATTTTTCTGTATTTTAATAATGACAGGGTTTCACCATGTTGCCCAGGCTGGTCTCGAACTCCTGAGCTTAGGCAATCCACCCACCTCAGCCTCCCAAAGTACTAGGATTACAGGTGTAAGCCACTGCGCCTGGCCTGCCTGGCTAATTTTAAAATTTTTTGTAGAGATAGGATCTCACTATGTTTCTTAGACTGGTCTCAAATTCCTGGGCTCAAGCAATCCTCCCTCTTCAGCCTCCTCAAGTTTTGGGATTACAGGCATGAGCCATTCTGCCCAGCTGCATGCATTTTTTTAGTGGTTTCTTCCTAACCCTATTTCTCTCATAATCTCTGCATTGTTTCTGTGCTTACAATTTTAACTTCTTCTTTATTAATGTATTTAGCATGACATAAAATGTTCGGCTCTCAAGTGTGCTATTCAACCAGGTAGATGAATACACATCAAAATGCAGAACTTCTGTCCCCCAAGAAACTTCCCTTGTGTAACTTCCCAGTCAATGCCCTGCCCCCACCTCTAGCACCATAAGGAACAACCACTGTTGTGTTAGGCTAGCTTAGCCTGTTCTAGAACTCAGTTACACTGTATGTGCTTTATTGTGTGTTTGTCTTCTTTCTGTCAGCATAATGGGATTATGTTGTGTTTATCAGAAGTATGTTTTATTGTTGAGTTGTATTTCCTTGTATGAGTATTCCACAATTTGGTTTTTCTGCTGTTACTGGATATCTGCAGTATATGCAGTTTGGGATTACAATGGACAAATCTTCTATGAACATCTGTGTACAGATCTTTGTGTACACATATGTTTTTATTTCACCTAGAATAAATATCTAGGAGTGGAATGGTTAGGTCATACCATAGCTGTGACTCTCACTTTTTAAAAAACCGTCAAACAGTTTTCCAGAGTGTTTATAGCATTTCACAGTCCCGCCAGCAGTGTGGGGGGTTCTAGGTGTTCCATATCTTCAGTATTTGGTAGTGTCAATCTTTGC